CTAACTCTTTTTAGGACTTTTTTTTTTTTTTAAAGATTTTATTTATTTATTTATTTGAGAGAGAGAGAATGAGAGACAGAGAGCATGAGAGGGAGGAGGGTCAGAGGGATAAGCAGACTCCCTGCTGAGCAGGGAGCCCGATGCGGGACTCGATCCCGGGACTCCAGGATCATGACCTGAGCCGAAGGCAGTCGCTTCACCAACTGAGCCACCCAGGCGCCCTCTTTTTAGGACTTTGCCATGAGATCGTCAAGGAGCCTCTGTGCCCTGTAAGACTTCACAGACTCTCCTTGTTGTTGCAAAGCACCATGAGGAATCTGCTGTGGAAGATGTGATCTGTAAAGTCACGTGACCGGGCTCACCCAGACGACAGTGTGTCCCAGTTCATCGAAAATGGAAGAATGAGGGACGCCTGGGTGGCTTAGTCCGTTAAGCATCGGACTCTTGGTTTCAGCACTGGTCATGATCTCACAGGTTGTGGGATCGAGCCCCGCATCAGTCTGCACACTCAGTGCGGAGTCTGCTTGAGGTTCTCTCCCCTGCCTCTCCCACCAGTCAAATGAATCTTTTTTTTTTTTCCCAAGGAGTAGAGAACATTTATTTGTAACTCATTTTATGAGGCCAGCATAACCCCGATACAAAAATATAACAAGAAAATTACAGTCGTTCTTTTAACAGACACACAAATCAGAGCAAAATATTAGAAAACCAAACCCAGAGAATATGTTAAAAGGATAATATGTCATGATCAAATTGGCTTATTCTAGGAATTTAAAAAATGGTTTGAATCAAAGAAATTTCTTTAAAAAAAAAAAGTGGAAGAACAAGTTCAAGGTACCCTTCCCTCAAGACCCCTCTCTGTACTTAGTGTGATGCCCCAGCTCGTGTGCAGAGACAGATCAAGAACGCCGATGTCCGTGTGGGCAAAATGACTAGAAATGGGGCGTTTAATCATTTCTTTTCCTCTCCCAGTGGTTTGTCCTATGCCCCCCTCCACCCCTCCATCTAGAAGATCCTAGTTCTAAAATCTTGTAAGCAGGAATTTTTTTTCTTCAGCTCCTCAGCGACCTCAGTGTCTGCCCCCAAGTAGCCCTTGAGGGTCTGAGGGGTGGCCGCTGAGGCTATTCACTAAGGAATTCTGGACCTTTTTTATTCTCTTTAAGTTACTATAATTTTAGAAGCACAGCTTTCCTGGAGAAAGGACCCATTGGTTTATTTTTTTGGAACTCTTTTCTGAACTGTGTTGATAACTTCTGAAGAATATAGAAACAGGTTGTATAGGTCTCGGGTAATATAATCACGATTCATCAAAACCTCTCTCTCGACCTTGGTTTTTTTTACTCATCCCAGCTTTTAGTATATATGTATATCTCATACCTGAGATTCCCATATGTGCCCACCCTTTCTTTCTTTTTTTTTTTGAAAGATTTTATTTATTTGACAGAGAGAGAGAGTGAGAGAGGGAACACAAGCAAGGGGAGTGGGAGAGGGAGAAGCAGGCTTCCCGCGGATCAGGGAGCCCGATGCAGGGCTCGATCCCAGGACCCTGGATCATGACCTGAGCCAAAGGCAGACGCTTAACGACTGAGCCACCCAGGCGCCCCTGCCCATATGTGCCCTTTTAAAACACATTGATAGCAAAAGATAAATTCTGTCTTCTAGTCAAGTGGGGGGGGGGGGCTGTACTTCCTGTAATTTGAATTTTAAGTTGCTTTTTTTTTTTTGCTAAATACAAAACCATGATGTTCCTTATGATCTTGAAATCACATCTGTCCTCCATCTCCCTCTGTCCATTTTCTGATGCTTGCCCCCCGCTCTTAAAAATCAATGACGTAGAGAAAGATAGTTTTCATGATATCTGAACTATACGTTACTCCCACATGCCCCACATTAAACGTCAGCATTTCTGTGTCTTGCTATTGTTTTAACATTTGGTCTTCTGCCTGGGGAGTGGGCGGTGCTCTGTAAGCTGCTTCTACTCAAGCCTCAGCAGAGAAAAGCAATATTTTGTTATGAGGTAGAGTTTCAAGCCAGGCTTTGGCCAGGGTCTTTCCCATTTGGGAGGAGGAAAGTAGAAACAGCCAGCGAGACGATAATTCTCCTTGAATTTTAGCTCATTAAAATCTTCCTTGCTCCTCAGTTGAGTTACTTATTGATTTAAGCATCTAGCAGTTTTCCTCTCCAGAAAGAATTAGCATCTCCAATGTGATCATTGCTAATGGCGGAGACTTTTGTCTTTTCTCTGTGGGATCAACTGTCCTCCAGTTGCTTATTAGCACAGCCCACTTTGGGGTTGTGTTTAAACACAGAGTTGCGGAGTCGGAATGAGATCCTGAGATTTATAGGTAATGAAAAGAACAGGTTGTATCAAAGGCACCACGTGTAGGAAACTAAGTGTTCTTAGGGGACTTGTGTGAACCTCTGATTCTTGGCTTTTTCCAAAATGAATGTTTCAGTCTTGTACATATTAACTTCCTCTTTATAGAAGTTTTAACATGTTCTGTTTTTGCTGCTATTGTGCGTGAAAATGTAGCACCATGGCGTTTCTTATCTGCTGATCCTTTCCAACAAGAGTTAAACATGGAGTTTCTCTTGAGGCTTAAACTGTGGTTGAGGATCTGCAGTATCAGTACATGAAGAAGTACATGTTTTTATTCAGATGTTTGAAATCCTCTTTCCTTAAGAACACTTTTCGCCCCTAAATACGACATCACCCAAAAATCTCGCTGCTTTTCACATCTGTCTGTGGAGAACGTGTGACATGAACTGCACCAGGGTGCTGGTGATGTTAGCGGTAAACTTCTGAATTCTGTTTCATAGTGTTGTGGTCCCACAGCATAAAAAAAAAGATGGTTGTTTTGGTAGGGACTTCTCTTCTTTTTAATGTGATTAGTGCAGTTGATTTACTGTGACACCATTTCAGTGTGTTCTTCCTGGGCCTTAATGAAGTACGATAGAGAAAAGCAGTGAGCACTGTTTGGCTCATTAGTGGGACCCAGCAAATGTTAATTCCCTTTTCCCTGTTGGCGTGATCAAACTGATCAGTGTTCCCGGGATGTTAACTTTAAAGGTTGGCTTTATCGGCTCTTTGAAAAAAAGCCATGCCGGGTGCCTGGGTGGCTCAGTTGGTTAAGCGACTGCCTTCGGCTCAGGTCATGAGCCCGGAGTCCTGGGATCGAGTCCCACATCGGGCTTCCGGCCCAGCGGGGAGCCTGCTTCTCCCTCTGACCCTCCCCCTTCTCATGCTGTTTCTCTCTCACTCGCTCTCTAATAAATAAATAAAATCTTTAAAAAAAAAGAAAGAAAGAAAGAAGCCAATTGTTACCATGTTCCTCTATCAGGACACTTGGAGCTTTTCTAGATCCTGGCGTTTTTTCTTCATAATCCAGGTAGGACCGTCATGGATTTGCTTTGCCTCGCTGCCATCTCTTGTTCCGAGATTTCTAAGAGACGTTAGCTGATGCAGCCTCTTGCCCAGACTGTGTTACAGACTCTTAGGTTGAGTTGCTCACCTGGTGCTTCCCTGGGCTCTTCAGCGATCAGCCTGTCCAAGCTAAGAACGGTTGAGGGCACGTGGAGCACGTTCACTGATGGGGTGGTTGGGTGGTGGTCACGGCAGTGGGGCTGTTTTCATGTTTTGTCTGCCACTCCTTTGTCTGATTCTAAAGAATCTGCAATCAGTTGCAAGGCACTGAAGTGTATGGAAAAAGCAATGGGGGAAGGAAAGCATTGTGGGAGAGTGGAGGCCGGGCAGCTGTCTCTTTCTCCCCTGATTGAGTGTTCTAAGACTGGCTCCTCTAGGGGAAACAGGACTTACCAGAGAGGTGCTTACACTCTCTGAGCCTCAGTTTCCTTGTCTATTAAATGGGTGTAGTAGCACCAACCCACATAGCTGACAAGCGCAGTCATAGCTCTTTTCCCCCACGGGGTCTCAGATTCCTCCTTTACTTTTCTGGCTCTTCACGTATGGATCCAGTTTGTGATCGTCGGTTGCTTAGTTGGGATGGTATGGGGACAGGTGGCCATTCTTTGGTTGAGGTCAGAGCCAATCTCTTCTAAATGTTACCTTCCTACCAGACATGTTCCTCCAGCACTGTTATTAAAATTGGACAGGACGGTTGTGATGAATGTGTTTTGTGCTAATAGTTGCATTCTTTTCCTCGAAAAAACAAAAAAACAAAAACGAGCAGTTTGACAAGAGACTAAGCAGAGCCTCCAGGAAAATGAGATTCTTTCTTGAGCTCTTGAAAATCCTCCCATAGATCCAGTAAAAGTTCCATATGGGCCTAATTTGGATTGTGTAGTTGAACAAGCCAGCAGCGCCGCCCCCCGCCCCCCCCCCCGACCCTGCGCCAAACTGGCCAGATCTTAGAGTGGCTCCCCTCCAACCCCCCCCCCGTCTTCCTCCTGAGCTGCTGCGTGAATCCAGATGCCACCCACCCCATACACCTTTCAGTCTCCTGCTTCCATCTGTGCAGTTTTCGTGGCCCCATCCTTTTTCTTGATACTGCAGTTAGTGGTGAAGACGTGTGGATGGCGATAACTGCCCACGGTGGAGGCCCTGAACTGACTGCTCCTTTTCCTTTTCTTTCTGGGATGTGATAGTCACGCCCTGTGCTGATTTGTGCTGCATTAGAAAGTCAGTGATGTGGGCGCCTGGGTGGCTCAGTTGGTTGAGCGACTGCCTTCGGCTCCGGTCATGATCCTGGAGTCCCGGGATCGAGTCCCGCATCGGGCTCCCTGCTTGGCGGGGGGTCTGCTTCTCCCTCTGACCCTCCCCCCTCTCATGCTCTCTCTATCTCATTCTCTCTGTCTCAAATAAATAAATAAAATCTTTAAAAAAAAAAAAAAGTCAGTGATGTGAGTCTGTCCATGTCATCCGTGTGGCACCAACCTCTGGATGGTCATCTACTGCATCGGAAGCTAGTTGACACGGATCGCTAGTCACGTGTCCCTGCCACAGATTAAAACGTGTGTGGTGTTCTTCTTTTTCTTTCTAGCTTCTTGAGGCCGATATTGTGGTCTTGGGCTCTCCCAAGCCAGAAGAGATTCCCCTTTCTTGGATACAACCAGGAACTACAGTTCTCAACTGTTCCAATGACTTCCTATCAGGTGGGTAAATGTCTTAAAATTGGTGTTGGGCTGCTGAAGAAAGGAGGTGAGATTGTTATGAGAAACGTGAACCTTATTCAGAAGAGAGGACATCCCTGAAAGGTTGGTCATCGTCAACATCCGTGCACAGGACAGGAAACTCAGAATGTTGATGTGCCTACCGTTTGGGTTACCTGATATTGAAACCATATTGTCAGGCAAAGAGAAGCCAAGATGCCAACCACAGTAGCCACCTCCTGCGCCCACATGCAGACGTGCCCCTGTTGGCCTCTCACGTTGAGCAGTCCAGTCACCTGTGACCTGAAGTAGATAATTTGTCCATGTGTGAGGTACACTAGAAATAGTGGTTTTCAGTCTCACACAACGAAGCAGAATCTGTTCTCCCAAAGAAACCTTAGGTGAATTTCCACATGTCAAGCAGATGAAAACAGTTGCTGGAAGGGATGGGAACGGAGACCAGCCCTTCTGCGTCTCCCCGATTGCCTCCTCAGAAACTTCCCTGGAGCCCCAGAGTTACCTCAGAGCAGTGTGAAAGTCACCATCAGAAACAGAGGTGGGGGCACCTGGGTGGCTCAGTTGGTTAAGCGGCTGCCTTCGGCTCAGGCCATGATCCCAGGGTCCTGGGATCAAGCCCCACATCGGGCTTCTTGCTCAGCAGGGAGCCTACTTCTCCCTCTGCCTGCCACTCCCCCTGCTTGTGCCCTCTCTCTCTCTCTGTCAAATAAATAAAATCTTTAAAAAAAAGAAAAGAAAGAAACAGAGGTGGTCTGAGGATGGTATTTCACCAAGGGATCCAGGAGTGCCTGGGACCACACGAGACCCACCTTCAAAGGAGCTCAGGCCGTGCCCACAGCAGGGCGCTCAGGCGAGGGGCCAGTAGAGCGGGCCCAGAGGGATGCCCTTTTCTCACTCACTGAAAGACACTCTTGAGGCTCAGAAAGCTTTCCACTGTACCTAGCCCACCTTTACAAGTCCCTGAGTAACATGTGTGCAAGAGACCCTCCCTCCCCATTACCTGCAGCCTTCAGATTTCAGCATTGGAGAGGACTCTGCTGAGCTGGCGTGGTGTGTGGCATTTTTCCCCAAAGATGGTCAGAAGTGGAGCCAAAGTGGGTGGAGGCCTCGCCCCTCTTCCACTTCTGCCAGGACCACACTGGGGTTCTAGATCTTGAAACCTAGACTGCTCTATAGGAGAGTGAAAGAGAGAATAGTATCAGATTGTGTGTGTGTATGTAAAACTTTGATCCAGTCACCTTGAGATAACTATTTTACATTTTTCCACCAAAAATGCACTAAACTTAATTTGATTGGAATGTAATAGAAGGAAAAGAAAACAATGTGATTATAAATGTTACTGAAATTCATATAATAACTGTTTCTTCAAAAAGAAAAATAATGGACCCACCCCTCTAGGAAATGTCCCGCCTCCCATAATTAACCAATCAGATTAAAAACCCTCTGGGGCTGCAGGGGGTGGGGTGGATTGGAGGATGCAAGGGATGATGCTCAGGAATTTCCCAGAATGCTCAGGTAGTTGGCTCTTGGATGAAGAGCACACAGATGAATGAAGGAATTAGAGGTATATTATAATGTGAATATAGGATTCATTGCTCCTTTTAGCAAATAGAAGGCTTGCACTGAATGACCTCTTTGAAGTATATGTAGTTTTGGGGTATAACTTTCTTTTCCCTCCTGAAAAAACCAGTGCCTAACCCATAAATGATGGGCATGGCAGATTTGCTCCTCTGCTTAGAATTTAGATTAGGAAAGCCAGTTCTGACTTTATGTTCTTTTAAATGAACGCTTCTTTGCTGTTATATTTACTTGCTGTTTTTTTAAATTAGAGTTTATATATTTAGGACAATTTTGGCATAACCCTGGCTGGTGGGAGAAGCTACTTTTTGGAATCCCTTTGAGCCCTATGCTTCAATATATGAAGGTGACAAAATTTTTTTAGTGAAACTGCCTTATTTTAATACATTTGTTTTGAGGACCTTTAGTTTTTTAAAGGCATTCATAAAAACATTCGATTTCAATGCAGTGATCCTTCTAGGGGAACAAAAAAGACCAAGGCATTATATTTTGACAGAACAATTATGTAGACTGACTATGGTTAGTTTATTTTAAATGTGTCTGGTCCCGTACTAGTAGTTTTCTTCTTGATTTTTGAATGCCTAATGCCCAAAATAGTACGTGACACAGAGTACATGCTCAGTTAATACTGAGTGTTGAATGAATGAATAAACTTGGACTCAGAATTGTACTGTGATTGCAGTTTTAAGTTAGTTGCAAATATAGAGATATCTCCTGGAACTTGTCTCCTCAAAAATAGGGCTGAGAGGCAAAGAGAAAGATGAAAAATGCTCTACTGATGAAATAGATTAAAAATGAACATTTTACAGTCAGCATTATTCATAAGAGCACGATATTTCCTGATAGTTAGTTTTAATTTTATTTATTTATTTTTTATTTTTTAGAGAGATTCCCCCCCCCCTTTTTTTTTCAAGATTTTAGTTTTGAGTAATCTCTAAACCCAACATGGGGCTTGAATTTACAACTGTGAGATCAAGAGTCCCACACTATACGGACTGAGCCAGCCGGGTACCCCAGTCAGTTTTAATTTTAACAAGTTTGATTAGTATGAAAATTTGATCTCTAAATAGATTGAAGAAAGGCTTTTCTCCCTTCTTTTTTGCATAACCTTGCCATCTTAAACAAAGAGACTTTTTAAAGCATTATTAAAAGGAAAGGTGCTTTTATTTCAAAAGAATTCTTAATAAACTGGTGATTGGGTAAAGGCAGGGTTTATAATGAAATTTTCACACTCATCTTAATGGTACAGGGATTCCCGCCCCCCGCCCCCGCCATAAAAATAGATGGGATGCGGTGATTTATAATGAGGTAATTCTATAGAGGCATTTTATTGAATACCTAATCCAGGAGAGGTTTTTCAGGTGGCTGATATCCCAGAAGCAGTGCTCAGAAAACAATTACACCTACCTTGTTGGATCTGTTCACTCTTCTGTGGCATGAGTCTAATGTTTAGATTTAAAAGAGGGACATGTATCTTCCCCAAATAGCACTGAATGATACTATGGTGCTTTACTCTGGCATATAAAAATCTGTGAGATGCCAAAGGGAAAATCTGATCTATTGGAAGTGAGTTGAGAAAGTGAATGACTTAATGATTAGGTAATAAATCCTTACCAAGTAAAAATAACTAACTGAAGAGGGATATGTTAATGTTCAGTTTTCTAGCTATAAGAATAATATTTTATTATTAAGTTTCAAATCACAGAAGCTGTGATTTTGTAATGCTCTGCTTGCTAAAGAGCAGAATTCATCCTAAGCAAGACCATTTCACACTCTTAATATTAAGACTTATTTCCTGGGGTGCCTGGGTGGCTCAGTCGTCAGGCGTCTGCCTTCGGCTCAGGTCATGATCCCAGGGTCCTGGGATGGAGCCCCGCATCGGGCTCCCTGCTCAGTGGGAAGCCTGCTTCTCCCTCTCCCACTCCCCCTGCTTGTGTTCCCTCTCTCGCTGTGTCTCTCTCTGTCAAATAAATGAATAAAATCTTTAAAAAAAAAAACTTATTTCCTGATGTGCCAAATGGGACAAAGGAGAAGCTGGTCTTAAGTCTTGGGCCCAGAGAAGAGTATCAAAACAGCAATTTGTGGGTCAGAGTATTTGACAGCATCATTTTAAGTGAGCATAGGTGTATTTAGTGTGGGGTGCATCTCGGGGTTCATGCTAATGATCTGGGGGATCCTGGGAGGCCTCCAGCTTTCTCTCTTATGGTCCCAAAGGGAGGTAGTATAATTAATGTAGTGGGAAAAGCATGGAATTTAGGTCAGATTGATCTTACTCAAAGAGAAGAGGGAGGTTTTGGTTTTGGTTTTCTCTTAATTGCATCGTATTTACAAGCTGTGTGACTTTAAGCAAATAACTTAAGCTCTCTGATCTTCAGTTTCCTTGTGGGTAAGGTGGGAACAAGGCTCTTGAGAGGAATAAATGAACTTTGCCTCACAGCACCTCTTTCTTAGGATTTGCCAACCAGTGGCTCTCCTCCCCCCTCCCTCCACTTCATTGTCCTCACACCTCTAGCATACAGAATAGCTGTAGACTTCATATTAGCAAAATGTTAAGTCTGTATTTGAAAATCAAGCCCAGGGAAGGACTCTTCCCAGTGAGTTTCTGAGAATGTAAGAAGGTTAGAGACCTTAGACACGCATGTAATATGGTTGTTCTCTTCGTGCACTTGGAATAAACTAAGGGTATTTGCTTATAAATTTTGAACTCCAATTATTCTAAAATCTGTTATATCTATTACCTGTTTCCCTTACCTTTTTTTTCCAGGAAATTCTGGAAGATTTGGACTTAGATGTTATTGCCGGGTTTCATTTCAAATTTTAACTAGTTCTCAGTATAACACATTTAATGTTCTGACTTTTTAAAAAAGTCTCAAGCTGTTTAGAATATACAGCTATGTGTTCATTCCTTCCTACTTCGGTATCAGTGATTTCAAAAGGGCTGTTTATATAAGTTGATACTAATATTTTAATTATATTTCTTTTTTGGAAGATTCTTACCTTATATTCTGTTTAAAAAGTAGTAAGACATTGTTATTTGATAGTGGAATTCAGATGTTTTAAGCTAGGAGTTCAATCCTTGCAAGCATTATTACAAACATTATATTAAGATTTCATTTACTGCATTTTACTGTTATCCTGTAAGATGAATATATTTAACTTAAAACTAATGGCCAGTGATTTTGAAAGTGTTATCTGTACTGATTTGTAATTTTTTAGCTTTTCCTGTTTTCAAAATTTCACATAAAGTTTTTTTGAGTTCCTTGTTCTCCCAGAGGATGAGAAAATATTTGAGAGTTCAATCTATGGGTTCATACAGCACTTTTGTGATAAGAAGGGTACCCTGGGCCAGACTGCAGAAAGCTGAAACGTTTCCATATAGCAGAGATAGCAGGAAGACCGAAGAAGAATTTGCGTTGGTCCCTCCCATTTCATTTCTGGCAAAATTCCCAGGGTGGTCTCAAAACAGCTCCTGTCAGGGAAAGCACGGTTCTGATTTCCAGGGAAAGCAATATGACACGTTAGCCTTAAATTTTCTTGTTGTAGCAAGTTTGGTTAGCAAGAAAAAATTATAAATGAAAGGCCATCTTTTAAAGTGATTCATTGACCTGTGCTTGGAAGAACCACAAGTTAATGAGGAGTGTTTAGTGGGAAGTGAAAAGACCCATTTGGTTTGGGACGGGACCCCTGGGACCCCTGCCGGACTCGCAGGCTGAGTGCAGACAGCCTTGGCAGGCCGAGTGTAGACAGCCTCCGGGTGGAGCCCTGCCTGTACACAGGCAGAGGGGTGAGGTAATGATTTCCTTTCTAGATTCTCTTTAGCCATGAAATTTGTTAAGAATGTTATTCCTGATGCACTGAGTTACCATCTTCATTGCTTCAAGTTCTCTGGGTTCAGAACTTTTTAACCAGGTCATCCCTAATATTAATATCGTAAAATACAGTTTCTCAGTTTCTATGGAAGAATGGTCATATCACTTTGATGGCAGGGTACTTGTGATTCTGTCCTGGGAATGTGCATTGATAAATTGATACCAGCTCTTGGCATATAGCTTTTTCTTATTTCCTCATCATTTAAAGATAGAGATAAAAATGAGAGAAGCATATTTCTTTTCCATAATGGTTGGACAAGACCTTTAGATCAGATCTCTAGTGGTTCAAACAAAACAAAACAAATCTCATTCTCTAGACTCTTGGCTTTTGCTTAAATATGATTTATAAAACTGTGAAGTGTTGCTAATCTTGAAATGATACCGGAGGGATATGATTTTCCAACACCCTTAATACATTTGACTATAGAACATCGCAAAACACTTACTCTTAAGTGTTTTGTGCTCTTTCTTGCAAAGGACTGTCAGCAAAATGGATAATTTAAAAATAGCGTGGTCCAAACTAGAGGAAAACAGTTTCTTAATTCAAAAAAGTTGCTATTAGAAATGTTTCTTTTCTCTAAGGGAGGATATAAACTAAAGCATTTTACATGTGTGCTTACTTTTCATAACCTCTGTAAGTGCCAACTGAAGAAAGGGGTAGAATCCTTCCACATGCCTCTGTAGTTTGAAAACCAGGTCATCCCTAAAATTAATGTCCTAAAACACAATTTCTCAGTTCCTATGGAAAATTGGTCTTTTCACTTTTATGATGGGGATTTTTAAAGTTATCAAAGACAGCCTGATCTTTCACACAGCACTTTGCGATTATGCTGTGTTTGAGTCCCCCTTCCTATACTTTATATACATAAGTGAAACTGCTTTTATTTCATATGAATCATTTAAACATAGACGTTAGATGCCCAGGACTTTGGTGTCACATTCAATTCTCACAGACTTGTGTGGGGTTGTAACTACTTACAGTAGTTAACAGGCCCAAAGTCACAGTCGCCGGTTAGAAGTAGAAGCACGATTTTTACCCAGTCTTGACTCTAAAGTCAGTCAAGAGCCCCAAGGCTGTGCCGGGGACTGGTGACCCACCTGGAGCTGTGCATGACAGCCTAAGTCCCTTGGCTGAAAAGGAGAACATCACTCAGTGTGCTGGCTTTTTACTAGGAGCAATTGGTTGTAAATGACAGTATCCTGAAAGTCTGTTGTTTTTTCCCCTCAAATTTTTTCTAGGGAAGCTTGGACATGGTTCTCTTGGGGTACATCTTCATGGTCTCATTGCAGAGAATGATGTCAGTCTCCTTGCTGCAGCTCTGCGGATTCAGGTTGGTTTGACACAGCTCTTTGAGAATTTTTGAGTTGAGAACTTTGATGAATAGTTGCCAACATTTTGCAAGTGTTTTCTGTTGAGCAGACACAGTATTAAGCACCTTACACACATAATGTCATTTAATTCTTACAACAGCCCTGAAAGATAATGTCATTCCCATTTGGTAGATAAGGCCTTTGGTGACATGACAAGTGTGGGACGGGGACCCAAATCAGGGGCTGTTGTTAGTTATCGATTGCTGTGGAATAAATTATCCCTCAAATTTTGCAACCTAGGACAATAAACATTTATTATCTCACAGTGTTTGTGGATCAGAGATTTGGGAACAGCTCAGCTGTATGGTTTTGGCTCAGGGTCTCTCATGCAGTTGAAATCAGGAGGTCAGCAGAAGGCTTTACTGGGGCCAGAGCCTCCCGCTTCCAAGATGGCTCACTCACATGGCTGTTGGGAAGATGCCTTAGACCCTCACCATGCAGACTTCTCAGTAGAGCTGCTCATGATAGGAGCAGCTAACCTCCCCCAGAATGAGTGATCCAAAGGAGAAGGCAAGGAGGAAGCCGCAGTAGGTTTTATGACCTAGCTGTCAAAGTCAGCCACCACCATTTACCTGTTTCCTCTTTGCTAGAAGCGAGCCACCAATCTAGTTCACATTCAGGGGAAAGGGAATCGGGCTCACCTTTCAAAGACAGGAGTATTAAAGATTGCGGACTGCTTTTTAAACCACAACCATCTATATGACCCAAAGCCCGAGATCTCCAGCTCGCCACCGTGCGAGCTATGCATTCTGCTGGCAGTGACCTTGACTATCAGGAGAGAAACCGGAGCCTATAATTCCAGCCACACTGGAATTAAGCAAAAGCACGTTTTAGTTTCTTTCTTACGGACATGGTATATACGATGAAAACTTCTTACTTCCAGGGGCGTCTGGCTGGCTCATTCGGTAGAGCATGCGACTCTTGATCTCAGGGCCGTGAGTTCAAGCCCCACGATGGGCATGGCGCTCACTAAAAATAAAGAAATAAATAAACTGACCCCCCCCTTTAAAAAAATAAAAATAAATAAAACTTGTTACTTCCAAATGGGATATGATACCTTTCTGTAAGGACTGTGTCGCATTTCAACTTAAGCCAAATTTTATTTCTCTGGCTCTCTTTGTGTATCACCATTTAACAATTCAGTGCTCTTGTTCTATTACATCAACTGTAAAAGGATCATACTTGAAATGGTGTTGCAGAGTTTGGAAGCTGGGCATCCAAGCTGATTATTCATGCATTCTCACATTTCCCTTATTTTTTCTCTTCTGAGATGGAGAACCCACTTTTATTCTAGTACTTGACGACTTTAGTGAACATTTAACCTATTTTAAAAGTACCTATATCTCACATTTTCCTTTTTAAGACAAACCTACAACGCTAATTACATGTGAACAAAAGTGTTCCTGATACTCACTTGGGTTATTTTGCAACTCTAATCCTTTTCATGACATAACATCCCTGAACAGTATCTTCATAGTTTAGATACATACCCTGTCAGCCTTTACTTGGATAACATGCTTTCCTTTCTGTCCCTTGAAGAACATGGTCAGCAGTGGAAGGAGATGGCTACGCGAACAGCAGCATGCAAGGTGGAGACTTCACTGCTTGAAACTCCAGCCTCTCTCCCCTGTGCCAAGGTATCCGCCAGAATTGTTTGTCGTGACATCAGGGCACCAAAGGGCCTCAGATATCCAAAGTTACCCATTGGGTGGGGGCACACTTCATGGTATTATGGCTTTGATGGTGGATAATTTTCTCTAATCACATTGCTGCACTATTTATTCTATTGTTTAAGCCCTAAAGATTAAATAGTAATGAACATGTGTACCATATTCTGTCAGTTCTAGGGTGTATATTTCTTTCATTTCTGAAGTCAGGATGTCCCTTACTGTTGATGTATCCTGCATTAAATGGCATTGTTTTTTCTTCTTAGTGGTCTATAACATAATGCTGTCTTCTATTTGACAAAATACAGTAATATGATGTTTGGAATATGCTTTCCAGTGTTAGAAATGCCCAACTCATCTGTCAGCTTGGTCTTCACAGCCACGTAGTGGGGGCATATGGGGGCATATGACCAGCCAAACCAAACCCCATTCTATGTGGGAAGTGAGTTTAGCTTTCCTCAGAACATAGTAATATCTAATATCTGACAGGGTATGCTGTGATATTCCAGATGGATATTTTCTTCAGAGTAGCATTTAATGAAGTGCAAGCTATATATTCTCTGCATAAATTTGGAAATATATACTGCAGGAATAATTCATTAGATAAGATATCAGAGCCAGAGGCAAACTGAGGGTTTTAGAGGGGAGGGGAGTGGGGGGATGGGTTAGCCTGGTGATGGGTATTAAAGAGGGCACGTCTTGAATGGAGCACTGGGTGTTATATGCAAACAATGAATCATGGAACACTACATCAAAAACTGATGATGTAGTGTATGGTGATTAACATAATAAAATAAAATTTTTTAAAACATGCTATTAGGGCCAGAGAAATGCATTTTCTAGCCTCATCGTGGGTCCCTCTGGCTGCCCCCCACTCCAGTGAATTGGCCCCACCCTCTTCGTCCAGGCATGCACAAATGCCATTGGAAAACAATGCACTGAAAACAACACATCATCAGTAGATAAAACCTCCAGGAATTGATGAATTTTTCATTTGATAACAACTTGCTTTTTAGATTTGATCCGTTTCCTTATGCCACAGCTGAACACTCATGGTTCCATTCTACCCACCTGGCTATGTTTTCACCCCTGAAATAGACTGAACATCATAGTCCCCTTCTGTGTTCATTAATACATAAATTCTAGGGAATGTGTGTTTTGTAATGTCACCCCTCTTGTTGTGTAATCTGTTTCATCAAATATCTTAAGTTACTTACGTTGTTAAAAGACTTTAATTTTTAAAAGTAAATGAGTACGTTCTACTTACAGAGAGCGAAAAAAAAAATGAGGTGGACTCTGCCAAATTGTGTACCAAAGTCTTTGCATAAATCTAAATAAATTCCACTTGGGGGAAGAAATGTTTTATTTGCTGAACCAAATTTGACTTCTGAGGTATGGGCGGGGGGGAGAAAGACAGGCTGAGTAGTTTATAAATTCCTCAAAAATCAGAACGATATCACTGTCACTCTTTAGCTAGTGAGGAGAAAACTTTGGAGGTTTTCTTAGAGTCGGTGTTTCCATTTAGGAGACTTGGGGAGGAGAGAAAGAGAAAACAGGTGTAGACAGGAAGGCAAAATGAAGTGGGAGCACAGGCAGTGAAGCAAGAGGGGGAGAACTGGAAATGAAAATGCAGGTGTAGCCGGGGAAGGAAGCATAGAGCTCAGCCGTCATCTGCATCCGGGCTGAGCTGCACTGACCCTCTCTGAGCTGCCGTACTTCGCGCACTTTAGAGAAGTTCGGGTTGGAAGTGGGTTCACCGTTACCTCGTGCCCCAGGGTCAGACTTCCGTGGGGTCGTGGAGGAGAACACAGAGCAGCGTGAGGGCCTCAAGTCGAGGATCAGCAGGAGCGAGAGAAAGAAAAATCAGAGCAGGGGGCCGCCTGCCAGTGGAGACTACGGGGCCCCCAAATAAGGGCCCCAGCGTGAGGCAGGGCACTGCTGTCTCCCCAAGTGTCAACCCTGATGACCTGCTGTCCCCAGCTCTGTCTTGTGCCTGCTACGTCTTCCTCTCAAACAGGTGCTCAGTCCAGCAGATGGATGGCCTGAACCCCCATTAAAACAAGTAGCTGAGCTCAGGAGCCCCAAAAGACTCCTCTGAGAAGCGCAGCACCTGCCAATTTCATAGCACTCCTATAAGCTGAACAGTGGTGTTCTCATCTTGCGAGGAAAATAGAATAAACAATTTGCCCAGTGACACTCAGGAGTTCCTAAACTTAACTGTGTCTGAACTTGAGCTTCGAGTGCTAGGTCCTTTTACTGACGGTTATGCGATTAATAAAATCTTTTGAAATGTGATTTTGGATTCGAAGTAGGAAAAAGAGAGGGAAAAGTATGGACACAGATGAAACAAAATAGCATTTCCACATTTTTGAATAGCCAAGAGACACAAGCAGCTAGCCTAGTAATAGTAAGAGCATTATGCAGTGACCCATCTATTCATGGTTAGTGAAGACAGTGATGACCCACAGAGAGCACTGTACTCTACAAGGAATATACAGTTCTCTCCTGTAGTATCGGTGTTATCTTTGTACCTGGGCGAGTTCTACGATCTTCATGAGTTTTTAAGAGTTGCTTCCCTAAAGAAATGTACCATTTTTTCATGCACATTAATTATTAGCAGTTGTACTTCATACTGTTTGGGAGAGAGGACCACAGAGCAATTGCTTTGATTGAATTTTTGGCGTGGCGTATGACTTTTCACTCTAGCAGTGACCACCTAAGCTGAGGAGACTCTCGCCTCTTATGTGTTTCCCCCACAGTGATCTTGAGATTTCAAAAGCACAGACTCCAAAAGCCGTGGATGTCCTTGCCAAGGAGATAGGATTGCTTGCAGATGAAATTGAAATCTATGGCAAAAGCAAAGCCAAAGTACGTTTGTCCCTGCTGGAAAGGTTAAAGGATCAAGCAGATGGCAAATACGTTTTAGTAGCTGGGTAAGACTACTTTTAAAATCTATTTTACTAAGAAAGCATGTTTATAAAACTTTCTTCCCTATTTCTATCTGTCGTCACGCCCCTCACATCCGTCGTTTTCTCAAGCTTGACATTTTTGTCCATTTCACTTGGTATTCCTTCATTTGACATGAGGTAAGTTTTCATTTTCAGTGCAAAACAAATTAGTCTCCTCCACATAATATAAAGTGTAACGAGTTGCTAATCCAGTATTTTATTTTTTTGTTTCTCATATTATGTTTTGATTATCCTTGTTCTGTCTTGGATTTTTCATTTAGTTTTTCTTTGTGATAAAAATCAAAATAAGAGTTAAAAGTAAAATATTTTGAACTGAGCAGGGGGGTATTTGTGTTCTACTCAGAAATAACATCTTAATGGAAAATGTATAGGTGATTTTCCTGTTAATATCCTTAATGTTTATTTATGTATTTGCATTATAAAAGTTCATTATTTCTCTTTTCTTGCATTTTAAAATTAATATTGGGCCATTTTCATTTGTGTTGGTCATTTTATAAAAGATAAATGCAGAGCTTTTGTGAAAAGGAGTGTTTATTTTCCCTCTTTTTAAAAGAAGAAATACGTTCACGGGCTGAAAAATGATAGAAAACAAGGGATTTAAAATATTTTTTCAGTGTGACCTGAGGGAACATCAGGAGACCATATAAATTCCTTTGTTGTCTTGAAATTTCATTGTGACTTAGTGATGATATATAGGCCAAGGCTTAAGGCACAAAAACCTGTTTGTTAACAGGCAGAGACATCTCTTACAACTGGACTCGTACTTAGCGCACTTGGTTAACTTTATTTTTACAGATATTATTATTAATGTAAACGCCTTGTTTCTTTTTCCGGTTATAAAGTCACACATCCTCATAAAGCCATTCCAAAATGCAGGAAAGTATCAACAAGGAAGTAAAACATCCCAAATCCTACCACCCGGAAGAAGGGGCTGGTAACCTTTGAGATCATCTTGACACAGGGAGTCTTTCATAAATGAGCTCATCTTCCCCGCGCTGTTCTGTAAACAGTGTGGTTATTCAACAGTGTGTCGTGTACCTAGCTCACTCCGTGTGGGCCAGTGTAGAGCTGGCGATCATTTTGCATGACTGTGTATCATTCCACTGCTCCCATCCTAGATTCTGGCACAGGGGGCAGTAAAAATGCCTGGGATGCGGGTGGACTCCATGTCACACATCTTCCCAGCACCGTGAAGCCCCCGGGTGGCTCAGTGGCCGACAGGTCAGCATGTTTCTAATTCCTCAAGGATATTCAGGCCAAAAAATGATTTGAAAATACCATAAGGATGTGCCACGATTTATTTAGCCCACTCTCTGTTGATGGGCACTCAAATTGTTTCCCATGTTTGGCCACTATAAATGATGATAAAATCAACAGCCCTGTGTGTGCTCACTTGTATACTTGCCTAATGACCTCCTTAGGAAAAGTCCCTAGAGGTTTTAAATTCAGTGTTTTAAAACTATTTAAAATAAAGATAAAACTACAATCTATAATTTCACCTCCTTAATGGCCAAATAATTTCTTCATATTTCTTTCCCTCCCCTTCTCTCTTCTCTTTCTCCAGCTCCTCTGTCACTCTTTTGGAAGGATAGACAGCTAGGGCTCTCAGAGTCACTCAGTGCCTGTGGTTTTAAGGAATTTATACCATGCCTGTGGCTTAAATCTCCCTCAGGCTTTCAGGCTCACTACAGTTGGACTCCCAGTCCTACCGGGGTCCTTTCCAAGCTAGGACCCCACCCCTGATGTCTCCGTAACTGAGCTGCAGGAAAGCTCCATGTTGAGAGGAAAGGCTGGCCTCACCTACAGGAGCCCCCAGGGCCAGATCTGCGAAAGGAGCCAGCTGACTTGGGGAGTGGGTTGGGGGACCACTGGGTCCCAGGGTATGGAGCACACATGGAATCAGTGTTGCTTTTCTGGAATGTGCTTGATACAAGTTTATTTTCAGAAGTAAACTCTGGGACATTCAGAACTTCAAAAGTAAATTTAGTATTTTATCCACAAATTTGCTTCCCTTTTTCCAGGCCCTGAGTGATTTTGGTAGGTGGATTTGTTGGTTTTCTCCCCGTGCTTAAGGTGAGAAGATTTAAGGAAAACCCAGGAGGATGGGCTCTCCGTATACCAAGGAAGAATCAAGCAGTAATTTTTCATATGGAGTGGCTGTGATTTACTCTTTTGGGCACTTGTTAATACTGGAAATAAAAACAAATCTATACGTGGCCCTGCCCTTAGCTGGGAACACAGAAGTGGTATTTCTGAAACAGAAGCTCTGATGGTATTGTTATCGGATTCTTAACTTGAAGCCTACCCTCAAGGCTGGCCGCATGCTGGAGAGTGACAGCTAGCCTGGTTTCCCAGGATTATGGCTGTGTGTCGGCCCATGCCCAGTAGAACATTGCTTCTTGTCCCACCCTGTCTCTTTGCTGGCATTGGTACGTGCATCTGAACTGAAGAAGCCAGGTTGTCGTATTGTCGATAGAAATGAAGTGAAACTTCAATTCTCAAGTACAGATTTAACCCCAAGAGATAAACAGTTCTTTTTCTGAAATTGTGGTATATGTTCCTTTTAAAACAAAGATCTATGAAGGAACAAAAATTAAATTGTGTTCCTTTCAACTGCATCAGGAAAAAAAGCTGTGGGGGTAGGAATTTGAGACGTACCTGCATCTGCAGGAAAGCCTGAAGAGTTTTAGAAAATATATACCACACTGTGTAAACCACACAAACAACGAATGATGTATTTTTTAAGTGTGTAAGCTGCCTTTTTAATCTAACTTTTTAATAGCTGGATATTTGAGATCAGTTTAAAACACCAGACAGTCATTTTATTTATAATCTAAAATGAAAAGTTCATTTGCGATAAAGACCGCCTCCATAGTTTTACTTTTGGTCACATCAGTTATGGAAAGTGACAATTGTCAAACCATTACACATGCTGTCCCTGCTTCTTCAGAAATAGAAAGGACCCCTCCATTAAATGGAGAATTATTTCCTTCTCCTGCAAGATTTTTTTTTATATTCTGGAAATAAGACTGGCTTACAGTATAAAATATTTAACATAATGAGAAGCAAAAAGGAGAAAACAAAATCTCTCATGACTCGGAAGTGTTAAAAATTTTTTATATTTCCTTCCAGGATTTTCTCTCTATATCTATCCTTTTTACACGTTGAGATCATGCTATAAATACCATTTGGTGTCCTGCTTTTATTTCTGAATACTGTAACATGAGTCTTTCCCCACGCTTTACTCAAGTAATTCTTCAGGAAACCTAAATAATATATTCGTGGTTGCACATTTGAACTTACGCATAAATGTGATTTAAATGTGTCAACAGTAGAAATAAAATATAAAACAATGGGATTTAAAAAAATCTTCTGTTAATAACCCAAATGCAGCACAGATTAATTCGCTTTAAAAGCTATTCTTCAAACTTCAGAATTTCTCATTCCGTCAGAATCATCTGTATTCCATCAGCTACACATCGCGTGGTATTTACACCTATACGTCACTGTATTTTCTTTGCCTGACAAAATGAAAAGTATTGGGACTTGTTCAGGGAAATATGCCAAAAGAATCTTAGGGGCTCTTGAGTTTTACATATTTTCCCAGTTACACTAATGAAAAGGAATTTGTTTGAGAACTTGCCTCGGAGTGCAGCTGTAGGGCATTGGATGTGTGTGTAGGCTCGGGCTCCGTTGGCCCTTCACCGATCTCTGTGCAGAAGTTTGTAGAACTTCTCTGAATTGCTCAGACAGAGCAGGTCAAAAAGAAGCCCAAATTTGTCTGTGAACAGACTGAATTTCACATTAAAGAGTAATTAAGGGCGCCTGGGTGGCTCAGTTGGTTAAGCGACTGCCTTCAGCTCAGGTCATGATCCCAGGGTCCATGGACTGAGCCCTGCATCGGGGTCCCTGCTCTGCAGGGAGCCTGCTTCTCCCTCTCCCACTCCCCCTGCTTGTGTTCCCTCTCTCGCTGTGTCTCTCTCTGTCAAATAAATAAATAAAATCTTTAAAAAAAAAAAAAGAGTAATTAAAATCATTCGCATCACTTTCTTTCATGTGTAGCATGCCAAATACTTCATTTGATTTTTTTTTTCTTTTAATATTCCTTTTGGTAAGTGTAAAAATAACCTTTACTGACTTTTTTAAGATTTTGTTTTTCTGCCTTGGAAAGCTATTTAAATATCCGTTGAGTTTTTTGCTACATGTATTTAGAAGAAACCACTGAGGATGGGGCCTTTGAACTGCTCACATCAGTCAAGTGCGATGGGAAACACAAGCCAGTGGACTATAAAGTTTGTTGTCAGGCATAAAAGCCTTTAAAAACTTCCCAGTCAGGAAGATACCTGGGATGAGTGATATATATTCACACGCTGCTTGAGCGTGTAGTTTTGGAGTGCCTGGTTAGACCCATGGCTCATGACAATGATACTGTTCTCGAGTCTAGATTTTGAGAACCATGCAGTTTTACCACTCTAATCTGCATAAGCAGTCTCTTTGACCTTGGAGTAAATGGTAAACTTCTTTTAGTATGTGTCTAAACTGTCACGGAGTACTTCAGTACATTGTTACTGTAGTCGACAGTAAACGTATTTGTCTTAGAAAAGACATCATTGCTTTGTCAAGCGTTTTTTGCTCACGTGTGCCTGGACAGGTGACAGAAATGCAATGAGAATAGGCATAGTCCTTCCCCTCAGCAAGCTTGTGGGCTGGTAGGCAGGACATCCATGTCAGGAAGCTCGTCATGATACCCTCAGAAAATTTACATAATAAATACACAATAAATGCTGTGGGACATAGAGAGGAGCAGATAAAGCTGCAGGGAGATGTTGAGGAAGAGAATGAACAAAAACCACAGTTCCCACTCCATAAACTCTAAGCTCTTATAGAAGAAAGAAATTAGGTTAACATGGTGCTCATTGTTTTCTGAATCAACTTGATAATTTGGAGTCAGAGTTAAGGATAGTGGGACAACAATTAATAAACCCAAGTCTGCAATCAAGTGTAGGAATGAGGTAAAATAAAATTTTCATTGTAGCTCTCCTTTTATTGCTCCCAATAAATACTTCCTGCTTTTTTGATTTTCTGAATTGTATTAGTTGGCAGGAAGCTAAGCGGTCCTGTGTTTCTAATTAAGAATTGGATGGTTAGCCGAAGTTTTGAGGAGGTCACTTCTGGGTGTGTCTGCTTTGGGCGGTCTCCAGCAGCTATGTTAGCCCATCCTTGGGAATGAAAATGTAATTCTTCATGTGACACACTGAAGCCAACCACCTATTCCTTTGCAGACAGTAAATGGTCAGTACGGTGCTTAATCTACCCTGTCTTTGATACCACACTTTTTTTCAGGCTGTCATAAGATTCTGATGCCTGTGGCTGACCAACTGCTTTTTTTCCTGTTGTACTAAGAAAATTGAAAGTTTACTCAAAGTGTAAACACTCACTTGTAACGGACTTCGTGATGACCAAGTGTCGTGTGGCTTGAGGAGTTTCGAGGTTGACTTCACCCAGCGAGTTCGGGTTGGCGCCCCAGCTCCCTACCGCCAGCCTTGTCCCTACTCGCAGTGATGGCTGCCGGGCCCTCACCTGGTGTCAGGCGTCTCTGCGTCACGTGATTCTGTGCGTACTTCCGTGGTTCCCTTCAGAGACTCCCCTGTCACACCCCTGCCTCACCCTCAAGGTTTCTCTCTCCTGCTCCTTCTGAGTTTCCTTTTGCTTTCTTCTGACCGTTCCTTACGAGAACATGTTCTGGACAGTTCTGTCCTTACCCCTCTTTGTACTGTGTTTACTCTCACTGAGGGATCTTTCCTGTTGCCATGCTTTAAATTGCTAATTAGTATGGTTAACAGCAGTTAGACACTTTCTATCCATACAAGTAACCTGGAATTTCTTCTGTTTCCATAGAAGTGACCTGGGGAAGTCCGGTGGCTTGCCTGGGTTTGACGGCCCCCTGTGCTGTTTACTGTTGCGCGGTCCCGGGCGAGTTACTGAACCTTCTCATTCCTCAGTTTCCTCATCAATCAAATGAGGATAAAAAAGAACCCAATAAATGTAAAGCACAGAGCCTCACATACTACCTACCCCAAACCTACCCTCAATTTTATCTGGCTAACGTTTATTCATTTGCCGGGTCTCAGCTTCGGTGTTACTTTCTCTCTGAAGACTTCCCTAATGCTCCAATCTCATCAGATCCTCCTGCCACGTGCTCTCGTAACACAGTCTCGTTGCCAAGTTTCTGTCCTATGTGTTTATCACTTTCATTTTAATTGCCAGTGGATCTGTCCATATGTCCCATCAGCTGTACGCTCTGGGAGGGCAGTGATGGAGTCCAACTTGGACTTGCATCCCCTGGATCTAGGGGCCTGGCACATAGTAGTACTTAATAAATGCTTAATAAAAGAAGGATTGATTGTATTGCCATGGTGGGTCTGAGGTCGTTGGGGACGGGATGATGTATCTAAGGACGTTAGTTCATTGTGGTCACATCACTAGGTTTCATAGGTCAAAAAAACTCTGATTATCAGTTTTGTTGTGATGGAGCATCCTGGACAACCTGATTCATGCCATCTAACTCACTGAGACCAAGTTGTAAGCCACAAGGACAGTTTTTAAATCTTGGAACACTGGTTAGAGTATGCTAAGGAACAGTTTTATGGGTCCTGACTTGGGAATATAATACACGCTGGTCCTCTTACTTGATGCCGTGATGGTGTAACTGTGGTGTGATGTTTGGTTTTGTAGGGTGTTGTGGTCAACAAGCTCCTCCAGAGTAGTTCTGCTCTCCTTAGTGTGCTGAGGAGTGTTGGGCGAATTCTTTCCCAATATTTGAGGGGCTGTTGGATGAGAAGGAATGGAGTTGAGTATGTCTGACTCCAGGAGATAGGAGCTGCTGGAATGCAGACGTCTCTTCTCTAGGACAAAAAAACTCTCTAACTGTAAAAACTATCTGGAAATGAATGGGCTGCCCTAGAGGTAATGAGCCTCCATCACTGTGTTGGAACATGGCAAAGACAAGCCCTGAACACTAATATCTAGAAGGAGATGGAAGAGTGGGGACGACGGGATGCCTTCCAATCCTGAGAATCTGGCCATGGATCACTGAGTAGGCCTTGTGCCCGCCCACATTGTGCTTCCAGTAAATGGCCCTAGAAGAGAGAATGAGACACAACATTGTCTTGATTACTTAAACCATTTGATGGATAATTCTATGCCATTTCTTGAAGCTGAGAATGTTATCACTGCTGAATAACTTTTCTTTTTTGGTCTCTTGCTGAAGGTGTGTCTGTATCTTGGCTTTAGCGTAAGCGTGGCCTGTGTCATGTGGGTAGACTATAAAGGTCCATGAAAATTGAAACACTTAAGTGAATTTTGGGATGATGTGTTCTCTTCCAGTCTCCTCTGATTTGGTTCTGGTACCTTAGGTTGATTTTGCATAGGTTGTTCAGGAAATATTATGAAATTCACTTTTCCCCCTCTCCAAACCAGGATCACACCCACCCCTCTTGGGGAAGGGAAAAGCACAGTGACAGTTGGGCTCGTACAAGCAATGACTGCACACCTGAACATCAACTCCTTTGCCTGTCTCAGGCAGCCTTCTCAAGGACCAACTTTTGGAGTTAAAGGTATGTGATTTAACAACTGGTACATTTTTCAGAGCAAAATTTGGGGCAGAGAAAAGTTGTGAAAGAACATTATCAACAGATAGGGAGTTAAAACTTGTCGGAGGAACTGGTACATTTCATCCCCACGGGCACCCCCCCACAAACACACTCAGTACGTGGTGGTCACCCCAAGGTGTTCCTCCCGCAGACGGGGCTGCAGTGCGGGGGGTTCAGCCGAGCCCCCCAGGAAGCCCATTTCCCTGGTTCCCTGGAGCAGTCGCTGGGCCCGTGCTCACCACTCCAGCCTTGGGCAGAAGCCTTCGATCTCATCAGGACCTTCTTTGCCAAGCCATTTTGCAATTCTGCCATTCATATTGGTGTTTTATCATCCCTGCCACAGAGAAAGGCCTTTCCCTCCAAACAGTTAAAGAGCCTTTCAGTTGGGCCTGAAGGCTCATCCTGTCAAAGCTGCTGTCAGGCCTGCCGAGCTCTGGAAACTGACTGGCCATGGCCAGAGATGTGGTGAAATTTCTGCCGTCTGTGCTGGGCCCACATCCGGCACCTTCACACTCACTACTCCTCCGCTGATTTATCGTGAGGTCATCCTTCAGCTCACATTACAATAGCATTTATTGCTGCGATTACTATTTGTTCTTGGCACTTTGTGGTTTTTAACAGGATAATATTTATGTTACTGTCACAGCTGTTAATAAGCCCTAGCTCATTAAATACTGATAACTCATAGGATGTCATACATTATGCGGCGGAATGAGCACTAAACTCGGAGCAAGAAGGCTGTGGTTTAAATCGTGGCTGTGTCTTTTACCGCTGTGTGGCCATTAGCCAGTTGTCACCTCTCTTGAGCCACATCTGTGATCGCGCAAAATGGTTTATAGTATCTGGCTTACTGGGTTGTGAGGACCAAATGAGAGAGCATATAAAAAACATGGCACACTGTAAAAAGGACAAGACACGGAAGGTATCACTCTTGTTTAAAGAAAGCTCAATCTTTTTAATGTAGTAACTGAACTATTTCGAGCAATAGTCAGCATACCAAACCTTACATACTATTATCTAAAATCAATTGACTGAATTTTATAATGTGTTAGTCTGAGTTCACCAGATGGATCTTTCTGAACAAGGTTTTTTGGTACTTCAAGCACGTGCAATTTAGATAACACAGAGCTGCATAGATCTGAGAATAAATGAATAAAATAATCTCATGTTTGCTGTAATGACATTTGCTGTATTATTTTTACCTTTTTTTTTTTTTTTTAAACCAAGAAACTGAAGTCCTTCCATTGCATAGTTGGACAGTCGGGACTTTTTTCCCCTTTTATTCTGCTTTGAAAGACAGTTAATGTTTTTTACTACCTGTTGTTTCATCTTGGGGGTGGCCTTCCTGCTGGGTTTGGGGAGCTGTGTCCCTAGGACCCCATTCATCCTGTGTCGCTGTACTTGGTAAATGATTTCAATGGTACCTGCTCTATTGTTCAGGAGGCGCTGCAGGTGGCGGATACGCCCAGGTCATCCCCATGGAGGAGGTAAGATCTCAGCGAAAAACATGTCATGTGTCATTGTTTTCCCTTCCTGGAACCTTTTTTCTGGGCCCCATAAGCCCAGGCCCATAATCCTTTATCCTCAGTCCCAGAATCCTGAAGGCTCTGAAAACCAAAAACATTTGCATGACTTACAGTGGTGAAACCTGACATTTACTGTTACGGGCTATTTATGTCTATGGCATTTGGTATAAATATTCATATATTTTGCTGCAGATTTGATTAATAGATGCGGACCTAGACCCTGCTTCGGTGTATTATTAAAAAATTAGAGGTATATCACACTATGTTTCTAAATTACCAAAAATTCTGAATCCCAAACCCCACGTGACTCCAAGGCTTCTGGGTAAGACAGTGGAGACGTATCTCCTCCTCAGTCATCAGTTATACTACCCAATTCAGGAGGACTTGGACTCCTCCCTTGGGCAAAGTGAGACTCCAAAATAGTTCTGAAGAGGGGCGCCTGGGTGGCTCAGATGGTTAAGCGTCTGCCTTCGGCTCAGGTCATCATCCCAGGGTCCTGGGATCGAGCCCCACATTGGGCTCCCTGCTCACCAGGGAGCCTGCTTCTCCCTCTCCCTCTGCTGCTCCCCCTGCTTGTGCTCTGTCTGTCTTTCTGTCTCTCTCAAATGAATAAATTTTTTAAAAATCTTTATAAAAAACAAAACAAAATAGTTCCTAAGAAAAATGGGCAAGAAGGGCCAAAGGTGTCCATTCTTGTTTCTGTAAGAACTCCAACTCCCGCATAACCACCCCCTTGTCCCCTGCATCTGACCATCTATCCAGGTCTCATCACTTCTGCTCTCTGCACTGGCCTCTAAGTTCTGGTCCCAAGAAGTCTTCCCCAAACCCGAGTCTGAGCCGGTTGCTTTCCTGTTGAGTGTATTTCAGTAGTTACTCCATCACTGTCTGCAGTATAGCGAGGCAGGTCCTCATGTGCTGCTCCAGCCTATCCCTCCAGCCTCCTGTCTCAGGTCCCCACGAGCCACCCTCCCTCTCCCCACCTCGTCAGACTCCCTGCTGACTCCTGCCCTGTTGTCTCTTGATTCCAAGCTTGGAGCGTTCTTCCCTTCCTGTCCTGCCCTCCCTGCCCCAGCCTGTCCTTCTCTAAGTTTTGTTCTACCCCCCAGATCCCCTCCTGTTCTGTTGCTCTCATCCGGTTCAGTGGGCCATGGTGAGTTAGCGGCCGTAGACCCAGCACTCAGCCCAGCGCCCAGCGCCCAGTAGAGGCTCACCAGGAAATGTCCGTTGGTTTCGTTGAATGAATAGGAAAGGTGTTTACCTGTGAAGGCCTGAGTGTCAGGGAAGCTACAGGGAAAATCTGGACACTTTTCAAGTATTGGGGGTGGGGTGAGAAAGAATAGTTCGGGGCATTGCCGAAAAGATAGCCCCGAGCCTCCCATCTGAAAGGCGGTGAGTAATATTCACAAGCCAGGACGACCCAGAGCCTGGAGGCCAGGTTGGGGATATGGAGTACAAGGAACATGCCCAGGGGAATGGCTCGAGAATTTCTGCGCAGATATTCAAAGGGCGTTGGTGTCCTCCTGTCACATGGCATCAGCTGCATGGCTCAGACTTGGGGCAAACTTGAGGCATATGATAGTTGCAACTGCCTTATGATCATTAAATAAGCCAGAAACAATCAGGCAGTTTGTTCCTTGAGTTCCAAGACCTCCCGTATCTTCTTCATCTCTCTATCCCCAGTTCTGAGCACAATGCCCGGCACTCAGACCACATTTGTTGACCGACTGCATGAATAGACAATGTGTACCAAAAGAACTTTAGTAAATAATCATGGGGAAATGTTTGAATAAATTCCAGATGGGTTGAGGAATTGAAGGTGAAAATACTAAGACTTGAAGGGTGAGAAGGAGCCAGGGTTGTGCAGAATGGTGGGGGGGAAGTATCCCAGGGAGTGGCACCTGCTCGGGGGACAGCACTGAGGGGCAGGAAGGGGTTTGGTCTTTTCAGGGAACAAGAGGCCACCAGCATGTGTCCATGGGCCAGCAGGGGTGGAGGGAGTGAGGTATAGAAATGGACGGGGACCAGCTCTTCCAGGCTACGGAGTTCATGGCCGAGAGCCTGGATATTATTTGAATATCATGGTCCGCCATGGAAGGGATCTTGACAGAGTAATAATATTGATATAAACTGAGTTTTTTAAGAAGAGGGCTGGCTTCTGTGCAGAGAATAGACTGCTAGGAGTCCAGAGCAGATGCTAGGAGTCTAGTAAGGAGGCCCAGGGGTAAGATGGTGGTGTGGCATTGAGGACAGAGAAAGGATGGTAGTGATGTAAGACATGTTTGCTGGGTTTGCAGAATTAGATGTGGGGAGTTAGAAAGGGGGAGGGCATCCAAGATAGTGGGCTGAGCAACTCCATTTATTGAATTGGAGGATGGGGGGCAGCGCGGCTGGGTGGCTTAGTCAGCTAATTGTACCACTCTTGATCTTGGCTCAGGGTCATGAGTTCAAGCCCCCCATTGGCTCCACACTGGTCATGGAGCCTACTAAAAAAAAAAGGATCAGAAATGGAGGATGGGTCAGCGGGGAGTCCGCTTCTCCCTCTGACCCTTCCCCCTCTCAGGCTCTCTCACTCTCTCTCCCTCAAATAAAAAATAAAAAACCAAAATCTTTAGGACGCCTGGGTGGCTCAGTTGTTTAAGAAATGGAGGATGGGGTGGTAATGGCCATGTGGCTGGAGATGGCAGGGGCAAAGGGGTTGTGGTCAGAAGAAGAAGAGAAGCCTGTTTGGGGCCAGTGGACACCCCAGTGGATATCAAATAGGCAGCAGGGAAGAAAAACAAGCCAGTTGTAACATGACGGAAGGATTCAATAGAAACATCAGAAGAGAAATATTAACTAGCCAATGATTGTTTATTTTCACTAATAATCAAATTAATCTACATTAAAACTTCTACCAGGTATTTGACTTACCAAATTGACAGAGTTGGATTTTTTTATAATAATAATAATAATTAATAATAATAAATTTTAGCAGTGAGAGATTGAAATATACTTTCATACACTGCTGGGAAGCAGATGTTGGTAAAGCTCTCCTGGAAGGCAAGTAAAAATATGTATCAAGTGCCTTAAAAACAGTATCATACCTTCTGGCCCAAATAAATCCATTCTTAGTTTATCCTGAGCAAAAACTGGCTGTGTGTGCAAAGATTTAATTTTAAGCTATTTTCACACAGCTTGTAGCATTAAAAAAAAAATGGGGAGACAATCTTAAATGTCTAATAATAGGATATCATATTAACTATATTTTGAAGACTATTTAATGATGTAAAAATGCTAGTAATATTAACACTAAGTATAAAAGTTAAGGTGTAAGGGCACCTGGGTGGCTCAGTCTGTTGAGTGACTGACTCTTGATCTCAGCTCAGGTCTTGATCTCATGGTTGTGAGTTCGAGCCCTGTCTTGGGCTCGCACTAGGTGTGGAACCTACTTAAGGAAAAAAAAAAAAAGCCAAGGTGTAAACTCTTATGGTGTTATGATCTTGATATTAAAAATGACAAATTTTAGGGGCTCCTGGGTGGCTCAGTCGTTAAGCGTCTGCCTTCGGCTCAGGTCATGATCCTAAGGTCCTGGGATCGAGCCCCACATTGGGCTCCCTGCTCAGCAGGAAGCCTGCTTCTCCCTCTCCCACTCCCCCTGCTTGTGTTCCTTCTCTTGCTTTGTCTCTCTCAGTCAAATAAATAAATCTTTAAAAAAAAATGACAAATTTTATAAAATATACATATGTAATTTTTCATATTTTCTACTGATCATATACTTTATTTTATAAAATGAGGTTTTAACTGATCAGCTGGTGTTTCGGGGTGGTATTTCAATTCTTTCAAAAAGCAATTTTGGTGGTATTATCAAGGTCTTTTAACCACACTGCTGGAAATATATGGCTTATTAGCAACTAATTTAAAAATATTATTTGCATGTATTCTTTGTAATTGTAGCCTTCTTTGCAAAGGTGAAAATTTGGTAGCAATTTAAATGTCTGGACATAGGAGACTGAAAACTTTTGGTACATCTATTATACAGACCCTATGAACTGTAACTACATATAAACAAGATTATTACATTAAAATACGTAGTAATAAGTTCTTAAACAAAAAGTTACCAAATGTATTATAAGTATTCTGAGTCTACAAATAATTAACATGCATGCACATAAGACTGGAAGGAAAATAACAGAATAGAGTCTCGAGGGTGATACATGTTTTTTACTTCTCAGACTGTCATATTTTATATTATTCTATTGTTACTGTTTGTTTTATTCCCTGCCTCATTTTAAAGTATATCTGATATGACACCATTTTCTAAATCATAAAAACAATGCATGAAAAACAAGGGCCACAACATACTTTATATGAGGATCATTAAGGCCATCAGAACGTCTCACCCTTAACCCAAGAACGAAAGACGAAAGAATCTGTGGTGAGCCAGTCCACTTAAGAGTTCTCTGGTGTCAAGTGGAAAACTCTGACATTGATTTTTTTATTTAGGCTGTTTTGTGGACTTAGCTCATTATAAGGGTATGTGTAATTAGCGCAATAGTTTATTTGTTCAGAAAGTCCCTGGAATTACTGCCGTGCTTGTCGGAGACAAGTAGAAAGATGTTTTCATGTCATTTATAGTTCAACCTTCACTTGACCGGGGACATCCACGCCATCACCGCTGCCAATAACCTGCTGGCCGCCGCTGTTGACACAAGGATTCTGCATGAAAACACTCAAACCAATAAGGTGAGGAAGTTTCCTTGTTGGCCCTTCTGGGCATCTTATCCTGGGATTTCTGGATTCTTAAGAAGTTCATGGGAAAGCTTTAGAGTCTGTAAACTGCCTGAAATTGTATTAAACATTTTGTGAACTCTCTATGTCCTTATTTCTTGGGGAGAAGATCCATACTTTTGGTCGGATTCTCAAATGAGTTTATGACCCCTGCCACGTTGTTGGGTGAATTATGTTGTGCGTTTTAAGGCAAATATTCTTTGAGACAGGACTTCAGTTTTAAAGGCAGTTGGTAGGCCAGTTCTCTTCATTCCGTCCAAAGGTCCAGTCTCTGCTCTGTACTAAGGGGATTGGAAAGATACCTTTTTAAGCCTGTAATGTAGCCATTCTAGATGTGCTGTGAAAGAGATTAGACCCCCTTGTTGGGCTTCAGGTGCATGCAGCTGATGTAAACACACACCTGATGGGGATAGAGTACAAGTGCTAATTCCTCATAGACATAGGACATGGATAAAAGTGGGACTTTCTGGCCTATTTACAAGGGTCCTGACTTCCTCCAATGAAAGTAATCCCTTGTGAGTTTTGGAAGCCAAAGACAGATAAATATTAATTTGATGGTTGTGAGGCTGTGTAGATAAAGAAATATTTATATTTATGCAAAGTCTTTTGCAATGTTCCTTATTTCAGATCTAGTCAGATTTATTAAAAACGATAGAACTTAAGGCTACATTGCTTATATTAGCCAAGAATTTTAATAGGGTCTCTAATCTAAACAGTTTGGTTATAAATGTAATGAACTTTGTCATATCCTGTGAATTATCCAAGTTCATAGTTGGCTCTTAAGCTTATGTGGTATTTTATTTTTGTTTTGTGTTTTTAGGCGCTGTATAATCGACTTGTTCCTTCAGTGAATGGCGTCCGAGAGTTTTCAAGCATTCAGCTTGCTCGGCTGAAAGTAAGTTTGCAGTTAGTGGCTCTTCAACAAGAAAATAATCCTAGAGACAAATCAGAAAAATGATCAAAGCCAGCAGTTTCGAACGTGATTTGATTTTTCAGACACTCTTTGGGGAGTTACACTCTAGAGACAGAACAGTGTTAACAGAAGAGAACCCAAAGCCTCAGACCTGACTATGCCAAAGAGCAGGTGGACAAATTAGTTCCCCTCTAGAGGTCCTAGTTCCTTCAGCTATAAACTGAGAGGACTGCTTGCAGATCTAGAGTACCGTAGTCAATGGACAAATCAAATTTCCGAGAGTTCTTCTCTTTCATGAATTTTCTTTGATTTCTAGGAAGTAAGATCTAGCCTCCGAAAATGTATCTCTGTGAGGTTTTATTGCAGGAAGATGCAAAGGTTGTACTAGTAGAAGCTGTCTTGATTCTCACCCATATTATCATTTCCTAGTTCTGTTCGTTGCTGTCCTACTTATCACATTGACTCCCCCCTTGCTCTTTTCAGAGACTAAAAACTAACTTTAATGGTATAATAAGCAGCAGCCACTGATGAGTGATAATTGGTTTTAAAAACTCATCCCCCTGGGCGCCTGGGTGGCTCAGTCGTTAAGCGTCTGCCTTTGGCTCAGGTCATGATCCCAGGGTCCTGGGATCGAGTCCCACATCGGGCTCCCTGCTCGGCGGGAAGCCTGCTTCTCCCTCTCCCACTCCCCCTGCTTGTGTTCCTGCTCTCGCTCTCTCTCTCTCTGTCAAAAAAAAAAAAAAAAAAAACCTCACCCCCCCTGCTTCTTCCTGAACCACGTTTGGTTTGTTTGAGAATACTGTACAATATACCAACCTCAGCAATCACAACATACATCATTTCTGTTGGCATTTGTATTTTCAGGTTACTTTCTTACACTTCATTATGAACTTTCTTAGAATGTTTCCTTTACAGAAAGAGATGCACTGAGAGTTTTAATCCTTTTTTTTTCCCCCACAGTGAATTAGAGATAACTTGTTTTAAAAAAAAAAATAGGTATCAACTTGGCCTGAGTTATTGGTATTTATGTTTCAAAGAAGAGCTAATGAGCTGGAACATCAATTATGTGGACAGCAGTCGATGTCCCTTCTGAGTAGAGCACGTGTGACCACGTTGTAGCACAGTCCCGAGAGTCTCTGTGTCCTAGCAACCATACCTCATTTTCATGTCATTTTAGGGTATATTGCAAATATCCATGTCCTCCATTTCAGGGATATTTGGGCATCTGTTTAGGAATTGGCCTAATCTACAATTTACTCAAAGTTCAGTGTAGTTTTGGTGTTTTATTTTGTTTTTGGTTTGGTTTGGTTTTTAGTTCAGTGTAGTTTTAAAAAGACTTTCCAGTCATGGAAGAAATAAAATAAGAGGGATAATTTGGGTTACATTTTGCTTTCTCTTCCTCACATATTTTCCCCTCTTCATCGTTAGAAACTGGGAATAAATAAGACCGATCCAAACGCACTGACGGAAGAGGAAATGGGTAAATTCGCCCGTCTCAACATCGACCCCTCCACCATCACGTGGCAGAGAGGTGGGTGCTGGCTGCGGGTCGGGATGACATTTATTCATCACTTTCCCAAGCGCCCGGTTTCATTTCTTCCCCTCAAGCTCCCAGCCTGGGATCTGGAATCCCGCCATGGGCCTCAAGCACTGCTCTCCCCTCAGCCTCACCTCCTGCTGTGGAGGCAACGTCACTGCCCATCTTGCCCCAGCTGCCCCGCCTGGCTCTGTCCCATTCACTCACCCTGACACGCGTCCAAGGAAGATGACTTAGTTTTCTCCTCCGTGGCTAGGAGCGCGTGACGATGCTCAGAGTGTCTCGGGTGGGTTAGGAGGTGGCCTGGGTTCCTGACCCTTCTGTCTGTTCTCCTCAGACCTGCCCACTTGCTTTCCTCCTTTCTGCCCGCTTCCAGAACCTTTTTTATCAGATGCCTAATGGATTGCAGTTACCTTGTAATAGAAGTTCTTGTGAGCACTGCCATCTCCCACTTCAGTAGGTTTATAACGTAGAGATGTTGTTCTGTCACCTCTTTGCTCAGAAGCCCCCAGTGTGTTGATAAGATCCTGTGTGGGGCACAAGGGCCACCACAAAACTTGTCCGGAAGCACCACCGCGGTGTGGCCCCAGTGGCTTTTCCTCCCTGTCTGCTTTCCAGACAGCTGGGCCTAGCCTCGTCCTTCCACCTGTCCTCCCACCGGACACAGCCCGGGTCCACCCCATCATGAAGCTTCCCTTCTGAGAATCCACTTCACCAGTTCATTAAGAACTTAGTGTTTTCCCGCAAGCCGTGAGGTGGAGAGACAAAGGCCAGAGACGGAGCCTTGGCTCCACCATGTATGAGCTGTGCAGCTTTTAATGAACGACTTACTCTGTCTTCTCATCTGTAAAATGGAGTAATAATTACCAGCTTCTGCCTTGCATGGCCTCCCTGTAGCACAGAGTGCTTTGCAAATTCGCTGGCGCTGCCCAAGCCATCAGTAGTGCCACCGAGGGAGTAGTTGCAGGAGGGGGTTTTCTGAGTGTGGGTCTCCCAAACTGAAGGAGAGTAACATCATTTTGGAAACTCAAAAACAATGTTTCATTTAGGTCCATAGGTTTTAGATCCTACCAGCTTCATTTTTAAGTAGCATGTTCCATTTAGTTGGCTCTTTGTTGTGATGGTAATTTTAAATGGATCTAGAATATTCCTTTGTGGATGAACCACAATTTCCTCTGCTATTTAACAGACATACATTAATTGTAGTAATGGATATGAACATTATCAGCATTTTATTGGGAAGCCTACTGACTTTTTTAAATAACGGAGTGGCCACTTTTATCTTTTTAAAATTTTTTAAAATTATTTATTTATTTATTTATTATTAGAGAGAGAACCAGTAGGGAGAGGGGCAGAGGGAGAGGGAGAAGCAGACTCCCCACTGAGCAGGGAGCCCAATGTGGGTGATCCCAGGACCCCAGGATCGTGACCTGAGCTGAAGGCAGATGCTTAACCAACTGAGCCAGCCAGGCGCCCCTGGAAGTGACAACTTTTAAAAAGTTATTCCAGATAAATACTAGAATTATATGATTGTTTATGGCATGAAAGTGAAGAAAATGTTATTGGTATAGACAGGCAACCTGGATTGGAGGAGTTTAGAATGACATTTGCTAAGTAGTTTGGCTCTCGCTCTCAAGAATTAATATAAAAAAATGGAACTCTTTATCATGTGAATTGAGGACATTTAATGTAGGGTCTTTTTCCTTTTTTTTTTTAAGGCAGTATGAGATTTGACCTAGAAATAGTGTAACCCTTGTGATGAGGTTAGGTCCTTATATGATTTGGTAACTAGGGGGGACGCTCAGGGACGGCGTGGTGCTGAACACCTCCTCTCAGAGTATATGAATGGTGTGTATTTATGTAATGGCCACCCTTTCTGTCTCTGTAAGAAATGTAACTGGTGGTTCTTTCATCCTGTGCCTGCTATCAGACTATCAGTAGCTTATATAAGACCTCACTGGGGCGCCTGGGTGGCTCAGATGGTTAGGCGTCTGCCTTCGGCTCAGGTCATGATCCCAGGGTCCTGGGATCGAGTCCCACATCGGGCTCCCTGCTCCTTGGGAGCCTGCTTCTCCCTCTGCCTCTCTCTCTCTCTGTCTCTCATGAATAAATAAATAAAATCTTTAAAAAAAAAAAAAAAAGACCTCACTGCCTGGCAACCACGTGGGACCAGAGCCCATAGACTATTCCAGAAACAATTAACATAGAAAGAAGGAACAGTAGCCATCGAGTCATTTTGCGGTTCCTAGAGGAGCATGAGCCCCTGCCTGTCTGAGCACCGTCCCAACCCCAGCCTTCCCTTCCCCCTGTCTCATTGGTTCATCCACCTCCAGGCCATTAGCCAAGGTCCCGCAAGCCTCAGTCACCCTCAGTGAGGTGACATCAGTGACTGGTTCCCAGCACTGCCCCGACAGTCTTGCAGGGAATCATGACAGTTCTTCCACCGAAGCCAAAACAGCGGCCCTGCCCCTGACGGAGTACCTTGTACCGCCCAGAACCTGAACCTCTATTGTTGTTCAGGAAGCTGCTAGGCGTGCCCTGGGTGTTCCTCAAGACCCGGGCAGCATGGTAGTGCCCAAGGCCCCCTTCAGACCCACACTCCCTTGCACCTTCCTCATCTCCCCTGTGCAAGTCAACGCCTCCGATCAGAGATTGACGTCTTGTCATCTTTGCATCCCTGTCCAGCTTGCATGGGACCTGCCACAAAATTGGCCCTCAGTAACTATTCCTGGAATGAATATGTGCATTCCGCATTCCACCTTTAGGTCTATCATTGAGAGGCCAGGAATTAAGCATCACTAACTTAGGGTTCCTTTCTGGCATCTATGTTGTGTGTAGGAATTTAATTTTCATGTCTCTTCCGTAGCCCTGACACACCCACATGCCTCCCCCCAACGAACATCTGAAGCCCGCTGGACTGTGAGGCGCCCCGCTCTGCCAGGACCCCACTAAATGCACACGCGGGCTTCCGATGCCCGTGCTTCGGGCGGATCCTGCCAGCCTTTTTTATTTTTTTCTTTTTGGTTTGTTTGTGTTCTCTTTGCTAAATAACAGCAGCTGCTTTTCCATTGCAAACATCATACCCATCTTATGCCAAGATTGTGTACCCCGCACATAAGAGTGGGAAGTGTTTTTATGGTGACTGCTCCATGGGTCTTGGGAATAAGTACTAGCTAGTGAGAGTTTTGGAAAGTGTTCCTTTCTCTGTATAGACTCTGCTTGGACCTTAAAATCATCAAGGCTTCTGTGTGTTTGATGCGTGATGTTTGGATGTGCGCTTGAGTGTGTTAGCGTGTCTGAGTGCGTGCGGGAGAGAGGGCGTGTTGTATGGGGAGTGGGACCAGCTGAGTCAGGGAACAACGGGTGGGCGAGGTGGGCAGGCCAGCTGGTGCTTCGTTGTGAAAGAAAAGGTTAACATTTTTCATCCTACAGATGCTCTCAGTCCCAAAATGCAGAATTCTTGTCATCATTTTTGCCAGTGCTGTATAATGCGTTTAGGAAATTGGCTCTAAGTGTCAGGGTGGGAGCTTGTTGTTTGAAGCTACATGAATTATTAGTGAAACCTACGTCCTTCTCACTGATTTCCTGCCATTGTAATTTCGGTTTTCACTCAACAAACCTAGTCTTTACAAACAAATACAAATCAGTGCAGTTCAGACCAACCAGTGAAAGCCATACAAAGAATTAGTGCCTGCTTTGATCAGAATTGACTTCTCCCCCCCACCCCCCCACATTCCTACTTTATTTATTGTATTGGGGCAAAATGTACGTATCATGACATTTTAACCATTGATGAGTGTGCAGTCTGTGGCATTAAATACGTTCACAAGGCTTATGGCGGTTGCTATACCATCCCCAGTGTCTATACCCGAAACCTTTCATCATCCCCAAGAAAAACTATGTACCCATTAAACAGTAACTCCCCACTCCCCCTCAGCCCCTGATAACCACTGTTCCACTTTCTCTCTCTGAATTTGGTAGTTCATCTAAGTGGGATCATACAACATTTGTCCTTCTCCATCTGGCTTATTCCACTATGCATAATATTTTCATTGTCTGTCCGCGTTGTTGTTCATTCCCTTGGTTTTGGCTGTGTAATTTCTACAGACCACATTTTGTTTATTTGTTCACCTGTTGGTGGATGCTTGGTTGTCCCACCTTTGGGTGCTGGGAATAATGCTGCAGTGAACATGAATGCTCAAAGACGTGTTCAAGTCCCTGCTTTTGGTTCTGTTGGTTATATACCTGGGAGTGTCATTGCTGGATCTTAACAGTTGTTCAGTGTTTAACCCTTTCAGAAACGAATTGGCTTCTTCTTATGACTCAGGTTCAATGTAAAATGTGACCACTTCAGAAATGGTTTTCCTTTACTACCTAGTCAAAAAATGGCACCCCACGCTGACACACTCTATCATATCACTGCCTTTATTTTCTTACGGCACTTACCCCGGACTGATATTTTCTTGTTTATTCGATCCCTCTCTATGTCTGTTCACTGGAATATCAGCTGCAGCATAGCCAGACCTTGTCTCTTGCTCCCACTGCCTCCTTGGCACTCAAAACAGCTCTAGACACATGGAGGCAGCCAGTCCATACTTGTGGATTGAAGACACTTTTTCTCTTTTTCAGTATTGGATACAAATGACCGATTTCTACGAAAAATAACGATTGGGCAGGCACCCACAGAGAAGGGGTATTCCCGGCAGGTACGTGACATTTCTTCATGGGAATGGCTTTGTTCTTGCTAGCATTGGTTTATACCAACCCTGAAGCTGGTTCTCTGCTTCTCTCTTCTCGGTCGTCCACCTGCAGTGGCCAGTGGGTTTCTCATCATTTCAAGGTGTTGCTTCCCATCCCTCAGCAGGACTGGGAGAGGATCAGGAGGCAGGAAGGCCCTGGTATTTTCTTACCATCCTTTTCCTGGGTGACTTTAGTTGTAGTTCTGGGAAGAACCACTCAGGGTGTCTTTTGAATATAAATTTTTACATATTTTATTGCAAATCCACCAAGTTAATACTACATCTGCTTAACAGCTGAAAAAAGAAAATCTCAGGGACACCTGGGTGGCTCAGTTGGTTAAGCGGCTGCCTTTGGTTCGGGTCATGATCTCAAGGTCCTGGGATCGAGCCCTGTGTTGGGCTCCTTGCTCAGTGGGGAGCCTGCTTCTCCCTCTCCCTCTGCCTGCTGCTCCCCCTGCTTGTGCTCTCTCTGTGTCAAATAAAGAAAATCTTAAAAAAAAAAAAAAAAAAGAAAATCTCAAACACATTACTCAAGTCTCATAAACCAAAGAATAAACACCCCATTATTTAATAGCCTGAAGTGTTTTTAAGGATTATATCTTATTACCCAAATGCAGAAAATGCAGAAGGTAAATTATGATGCTCACCTTCATTTCATGTGGAGAAGGATGCTTAGGGAACATAAAATCATTCTGTGATTTTTCAATCAGGTGCAACAAGCCTCTAGATTATAATAAACCTTATAATTTAAGATGGTATTAGATTTATGGCCTTTACGTTGTCAAATTTTTATTAGTGAAAAAATAATCACTTTTACTATAATATTCAGTTCTCATACCTAATAGACTTTTGGACCATTGGAAATTTTGAATTAAGCAGCGAATATGAGAACTGAATCAAGACAAACTAAGCCCATGTACCTTCCCTCCCTGCTCCTCTGTATCCTGGAACTTGGACCCATGAACTGATTTCCAACAGTTAGTCCAAATCCATGCTAGAAAACCAGAATCATTGCCATATAATTTCGGGAAGCTTCTGAAAGCTGGGAAGATGGAGTTGGATTCGCGGAGGAAAGCACAGCCCCAAACATGATGGGAGTGTTCTAGGGGTCTCTACATTCAAAGGCAAGAGATGTCCTACTTCTGAGTTAGAGTGGGCCCACACATCCTTCAGCGTCAGTGGATGGGGACAGCTCCCGAGAGGGAAACAGGCATCGTCCCGTGACCCCTATGCTGGGCTGCAGCACGGGAACCTGAGTATGGTCCTGAGGCCCGTGCCTCAGTGTACCACCCAGCCCGGGGACCCCTCACGTCCCAGTCACAGACTTGCATGTGTACTGTGCCTCCTATAGGCAGTGAAAAGCATCTTCCTCAAAGGAAAGCAGTATATTGTGGCACTTTTTTTTTTTTTAAGATTGATTTATTCAAGAGAGAGCACGAACAGGAGGGGCAGAGGAAAAGGAAGAGAGAATTTCAGGCAGACTCCCACTGAGCCTGGAGCCTGACGTGGGGCTTGATCTCACCACCCTGAGATCACGACTGAGCCAAAACCAAGAGTTGGACGCTCAACCGACTGTGCCACCCAGGTGCCCCGATTGCAGCACTTTTTTTAAGGAAAGGGCAACCGTTTCTCACCTCGTGGATGGCATCCGAAGGACTAGCCATGGCCCTGTGAGTGTGCACAGGCCTGGTAGTGGAACATCGGCGAGTCCTGGGTCCTGCCCTCTCTGATCTCTACAGGTAAGCTGGGGTCGTCAGAAATCAGGGCCACTGACAGGTAAAAATGAGGATCAAAGCCAGGCATCACCAGCGTCAAAAGTAAACGTGCATCACGAAACGTGACACCAAAGCCAGCAAAGGGACGCTCATGATGGCCAAGGAAAACAAGATGGCAAGTCCTGTGGGAGGAGTCTTTACAAAGAATACCATCGGTATCCTCAGAAGACTGAGAGAGCCTTCATACAAGGAAAAATGCCTGCTGTGAAAAAAAGAGATGAAAATCTTGGAAGGAAAACCATGATGTGAAAATAAAAATCGAGTTCGTGGACTGGATAAGAGAATAAGCCTTAAGTGAATTAGAGAGGGCAGGGCAAGCCTAGGAATTCTGTCTGAACACGGTACCAAAGGGAAAGCTGTAAGTGTAAAGAAAAAGACGGAAGACACGGGAAGCCTATCAAGAAGTTCTAATATGCATCGCATAGGAGGTCCAGGTGAGAGCAAGAGAAGGGAGGGAAGAATGTGTTCAGGGAAATAATAGAAAGCAAATGCACCGGCTTGATGCAAAACATGAATTTGCACATTTGAGACTCTGACAAGGGCCACGCAGGATGAATGTAACACTCACACCAACACTAAGGGTACAACAAAATTCCGAAGAGCTGCCGCAGACAAAGAAGTCCTGGCTGGTCCCTCAGGAGCGAGCCCCGGGTGGGCATCAGAGTGCTCACCGGCAGCACTCAATGCGAAGTGGCCCTGGGAAATGGATTCCGACTCCTGAAGGAAAAGGAGTTTTCAGACTCCTTGAGGAGAAGAAAAGCAACAACAGTCGGGCGTGCTGAGTAGAAGATGCAAAAGCATCCGGACAAGTCGGACACGTCAGCGGCCGCTGCAGGTGTGGACGTCACGGACATGAAATGCAGAGCCCCGAAAAAAGAGACCACTTTGACATCGTAAAAAGTTAAGCTCTTGAACATGAGAAGTGGACACATACAAAAACATCAAAAGACCAGTAACAGAGTGGGAGGGAATGTTTGCATTGGCTATAACGGAGGAGTAATACACCAGACTTAAAAAGAGCTTCCACGATGTGCTACTCACATACTCTGCTCCCGGTGCGGCCTTCACTGCTCACCTTTGCCGCCGGGGCTGCCTGGGGGCGCCTGGGGGGCTCAGGCGGTGGGGCATCTGCCTTTGGCTGGGGTCATGATCTCAGGGTCCTGGATGGAGCCCCGTATCGGCCCCGCTCAGCGGGGAGTCTGCTGCTCCCTCTCCCTCTGCCCCTCCTCCTGCTCGTGCACATGCTCTCTGTAATAAATAAAATCTTAAAAAAGCAAAAAACCGGGACTGCGTGTCCCACAACTCCCTCTTTCCTTTGCCTGCGCTCTTTCTCTTGCATATTTTCTGCCTCTCCCTCCTCAAACGTGAGTTTTATAAGGGCAGGGGTTGTATTGTCAGAGCTGCGAACTTTGTTATAGAGCAGCATAGGTATTCAATAATTGCTAAATAAATGCATAGAATAAGAGCAGTTTGTAAACACAAATAAAATGCCAACAAGTGATCGTAAAACTGCAAGTTAAAACAATGAGGTACTATTTACCCGTGCGCTTATAAAAACAAATAAATTAGTATTGAATGTTACTGAGTTTACAAAGAAGTAGAGGCATTTATACAGTGTTCGTTGGAGTTTAAATTAAGTGTCTTGGATGATTGTTTGTACTAAGATTTGAAATGACCTAAGAATTCAGCGTTAGGATATAGAAAAAGTAAAGGTGGAGGAATTTTTGCCCATGTGCAAGAAAAAAAAAAATCTATGTATAGGGGTATTAACTGCAGCATTATTTGTAATGGTGAAATTTGAAACAGTCTAAACATCCATCAGGAGGGGCAGTTTCATATCTTCCGTACATCATTCTGTACCGTAGACATGGCAGGTCCCACATCCGGCTCCCTGCTCAGCAGGAAGTCTGCTTTTCCCTCTCCCACTCCCCCTGCTTCTTTTCCCTCTCTCGCCGTGTATCTGTCAAATAAATGAATAAAATCTTTAAAAAAATAAAATTAATAATTATTTCTTTTTTAAAGATTTTGTTTGTCAGAGAAAGAGCGAGCAGAGAGAGAGATAGCACAAGCAGGGGGAACGGCGGGTAGAGGGAGAAGCAGGCTCCCCGCTGAGCAAGGAGCCCGATGTGGGACTCGATCCCAGGACCCTGAGATCATGAACTGAGCCGAAGGCAGATGCTTAACCCACTGAGCCACCCAGGGGTCCCAATAAGTGATATTTAAATTGACCTAATTTGTTTCATTTTTGATGTTTTTCAAGGTACAAAATTTTGAAGTTATAATGACTACAAATGTAGAGCTTATGTGTGTATTATAAATGCTACTTAATTACTTACATAGTTAATATTTTAAGAGTATCTCTAGTTTCATGTTTTGCATAGAAAGCCTCAAAATTTTCAGGCATTTTTAATGTGCACCGTTTATAATGGAATAGTAGTATAGAGGATCCTAAATATCATACAATGAAAAGTCACTGATGTTTAGAATGTGTTATATTGAAAATGTAATAATTGAGCATAGTTGTATTTGACTTTCAGGTAATATTTTTTCACTACATCCGTGACTAATGAAATCTCAACCTGGAAGTAGCCAGAAAGCTCCTTATTTCCTTCATTTCCTTTCTTGTCAGTGACAGAAAGGGACAATAAAATGTTTTCAAAGGTGACCCCTGCCCATTTCCTCTCTATGTAAGGTTGCATTTGGCTGCCGCACAGGCCCCTTGGGAAGAAGAGAATTCAGGCAGAGCCGAATGAAGTGATTTTGTCCAGTGGCTGAACTATGAGGAGGAGGAAGGCATGTTCCTCGTTTCTCTTGTGGTTCCTGTTGGACCGCGTACAGCCTGCAGGGAGAGCCAGGAGAGGGACTAGCAAGGCCCAGACATATTTCACAGAAAGTTGCTTCTGTCCAGTGTTCATTGCTGGGCACTTCAAGGTCTGATGGGGCCAAGCCCCCATGGGCAGCATAAATTTGATTCTGTGTCACCTTTTGACTTGGGGGGACTATACATGATGGGGTGTCCACACTGCTGTGTGAAGCTCTAACTCTGGGAAACCGGCCCCAGCCACCATCTCTCACTGTCTGCTCCTCATCTCTTTGCTGGACAGACAAATGCCACCCCTTGGACACACCAACGATAACAGTGGAGCAGCCAGCAGGTGTTTATTTAGGGGACATGTACTGAGTGCCTGCTGGGTTTCACACCCCGTCCTCCACGCTGGGGACTCAGGAGTAAAGCCTTCCCAAGGTTCTTGCCTTCGTGGCACCACTTTTGGTCGTGGAGAGACGTGCGTCAGACAGACAGTTGCATTAATCATTAATTACAAGTCTGAGACATGCTGCAAAAGCCAACCACAGAGTGCCACAGGTGGGGGTCGCAGCGGTCCAGCCAGGCTGAGTCCTGCTCAGCAGAACAAAATCAAAGAAGTGCCTGGTCATCAGTAGAGAGCCCGCCCCAGAGGGCACCAAGCACAAGACCGTGCATGTTTCCAGCAGTGCAAACACTTGCGAATGTGAGATTGGCGCTTTGAGGCTGGATGCCCCGCCCCCCCCAGGCCTTCAGGAAATTAATTGCTGAAATACCGCTCCTGGTGCAAATGGACGTCCAGATGGCACTGTCGCTGACCAGTACTTCTGCTTTGCCTTTTCAGGCACAGTTTGACATCGCAGTGGCCAGCGAGATCATGGCGGTGCTGGCCTTGACTGACAGCCTGGCGGACATGAAGGAGCGGCTGGGAAGAATGGTGGTGGCCAGTGACAAAAATGGGCAGCCCGTGACAGCCGAAGATTTGGTGAGTGTGTCCATCTCAGGAGCTCGAGAGAGCTCGCCGTGGCCCTGTCCTGTGTTCAGGAGAATGGAGGTCTTCTTACCAGCATGTGTCATAGAAATCCCAGGCCATGTCTACACTCAGGTTTTCCCCTCACAAGCCTGTTTGTTTTACAGCGTCTATAATGTGCTCGTCCCTGGCTGCAACCAGAGCACATGACATTTATTTCCTAAGCCTTCCAGGACTCTTGGCAGCCCCGATCTGCGCTCTCTGCGCTGGGCGGGGCAACCTGTTAGCTCACGGCTTTTTCACAAAGGGCGATCATGCCTGCTTTAAATGGAGGACAGATTGCCTTTCCAAAGAATAAGAAGAAAGTGACTCCACCTGTATGAAAGGGAAGATAGAGTGAAAATTGGCCCTGGCTTGTTTAATTCTGTGTTTTATATTCGGGTGTCCCGTTACGACACCAGATCTTCCTCTTAATCCGTTTTACTCATCTAGCTCCCTTTTGAGTGCAATGATGCCTTCTATTAGCTTCCTGGGTATCCTGGCGCGTCACTGCGTCTTGTGAGCGCTCATTCTAATTTAGCATGCTCATCTTTTTTCCTCTTCGTAATTACTTTGCTGTTAACTTAAACCCTGTTGGTGGTATAGCTGTTTCATGTGCTTGTGCGTAGATAGGACGTAGGCATTAGGAAAGCCATTAAGCACTCTGATCTTCAGCTAACTTTCCCACATACGGCTCACGTACCGTGATGGCAGCTAAAATGCACGCTGATAGTTGGAAACGGAAAAGGCAAATTAATATTTTAATTCTGAGGGCTTAGGATGTAATTGGAATCCTTTGCCAGAGTGTCTTGATTACTTTTTGGCCACTTTTGGAGAGATGAATCTGACCGACTCATCTCGTAGGTCTTGTCAACTCAATTAGGTATTTTTATTAGCAGCCCCTAGGATGCTTCGTGTAAAGCTTGACAAGAAAACCCAAATCCAGCTTGCTGTAAAGGTACTGTTTTTTAAACATTACGAACATTGCGACATTTCTACGGAAACTAACATATTATGGTTTCTGTATCAGTATATTTCCCTGTATCCTCTTAATCTTAGGTATCAATAAATAGGCATCCGAAATAGTTTGAAACTTAATCTGCAAATATGATTTCTCTACATTTATTTTTGCGTGTGTGTGATAAAAACCTCAGATCTGAAAATAAACCCCAAGTTTACTCTTTTTAGTCATCTTTTGTGTCTCTTGTTTACAAAAAGCTCCTAACTTCTTCCGATTATGTTTTATGCAGCTGGAACTATCAATAGCTGGTCTTTCATGGAAAATTGAGGGAGGATTTTAGGAGCTTCTGTCTTTTGGTTTCACTATTTTATAATTTTTTTATATACTCTGATTTGGCCAAAAGGACTTACGTATTGCCATGAGAATTCGAGTAGATGGCTTCTAAACGTTTCTCCTACGATGATCAATTTTGGCAGCCCTTGAAGAATGTATCCAGACTCTCTCCCCCTGGACTCGGGATATGGAACAGGTGCAGGGTTCAGAGTGACCATGACAGCCTCAGAGCTACTCTCTCTTCATGGGCTCGAGGATAGTCAATGTGTTAGGAGCAACATAAGATGAGAGATGTCCCAGGAAAATAAGGAGGTGCACACTACCTGAGGCAGTCCAATCGAAATGTCCACCTTCCATCCTTCTCTAGTTTCTTGCTTATACTGGGAAGTATAAGCAAACACAGCATCCAGAAAGCTCAGCAGACATCTACTTTTGCTGTCTGCTTTGTGTAAAGAATAGAGAACTAATTTCTTTGAGCCCTTCCTGGCCAGCAGCTCTCACAGTAAAACATCCTAATATTATTTGTAACAGGTAGGTGACATTTCTTATGCTTTGTACAGGAAAGCAGAAAATAAATTGGATTTTCCTGTAAACCTTACACCCTCAAGATTCTGCCACCTGATGTGTTGAGATCTGTGACGTGCCATGTTTATCTTTTCAAGGCGATGTTCCCACGGCGTTTACTCATGGTTGCCTTACGGTCTCGGTGTTTTGAAGGCACTTGGCCAATGTCTGTCGAAAAGGTGGAAGGGTTTTGTATTGTGGGTTTTGTTTTTCTAAAGCTTTCCTTGTGGACTTTTTTTGGCCCACTTCTTCCAACAGTTCTCAGATTTCTCCCGTTTCGTCCTTCTCCCGTCTGTCTTTTCCAGGAATGGGAAACTGGGGCGCAGCGGGAGCCCCACCCAGAGCTTTGTGGGCTTGGGAGGAGGCAGCTGCATTTTATGTGCAGGTGACATCAGCTCTGTTCCAGGCAGACAGACAGCCGGAGGCACAGAAAACGAGAAGCTTTTCCAATGTAGCCGCTTCCTGAGTGCCTTCTCTCTCTGTGGGATGATGCATTGGGAAACCAGTGGTTTCTTCGTTGCTTTTAGAAAAATGGGTGCTTTTAGACTTTCCCCTTTATCCCTCTCCGTTTCCTGCTCAGTCAACAGCCTGATTTTCCTACTTTATCTGATTTCTTCAGGCAATAGCATAATCTCTGGTAATGAAAAAATAATGTGCGTAATTGCCAGAAGACACTTTTAGGCAGACTGAAAGATCTGCTTTATGGCAAGCCTCGTAAACACCATCAAGGAAGGTTTTCTTAAAAAAGGCGAGGACTGCCAGTTCCCCATCACATCACATCTTAGAATGGTTGACATCCATTCAGGTGGGGGAGAGAAGGTTCCAGCCTGTGTTCCCTGCAGCTCGGAGGTGAGCGCAGCCTGTGGGAATGCCCACCTGTGAGGCAGGCTGCTCAGAAATGGCCACAAGATTCACCTTGGCACAGATGATCTTTTGTCAGCAATCTAAAGCAGGTTTTGTTTTGTTTTGTTTTGTTTCTCTCCTTTAGGGGGTCACAGGTGCCTTGACAGTTTTGATGAAAGATGCAATAAAACCAAATCTGATGCAGACCCTAGAAGTAAGTGATTTTCTTTTTATAGAAATTGTTGACGTCAGAGAAAGACAATTATCATATGATCTCACTGATACGCAGAATTTAAGAAACAAGGCAGAGGATCATAGGGGAATAGAGGAAAAAATGAAACAAGGCGAAACCAGAGACAAAACCATAAGAGACTCTTAATCTTAGGAAACAAATTGAGGGTTGCTGGAGGGGAGAGGGGTGGGGGGATGGGGTGGCCGGGTGATGGACTTTGGGGAGGGTATGTGTTGTGGTGAGCACTGGGTGTTGTGTAAGACTGATGAACCACAGACCACTACTCCTGAAACAAACAATACATTCTATGTTAATAATTTAAAAAAATATTTATTGTGATAAAGGTCATAATAGCTGCTAGTATTGAATTAAGTCTACAATTATTTTTTACATATTAAAAAACATTTAAATGTTTAAAAAAAGAAATTGTTGACATTGCATTCATTGCATTGTGTGTGCATCCCCACACAACGTGAGCATTTCCAGCCAATGTGAGCCCACAGGGAGTATCAGAATAAGTCCTTGGACCTCCGAAAAAGTTAAAAGTGTATGTATAGGTTCTTTCCTTGGGTAATGCAGTAGAAACATAAAAATTCTGTATCTAATATGTCGGTAAGTTGTGGAGTGATGTTTACGTGATGTTTTCTGTTTTGCCTTTTTTGGACTTAGCTTCTCATAATCATTAGGTTTAGGGTTTTTTGGTTTGTTTTTCCCAAACAAAACACAGAGTGTATGCTAAGAAATGCTTCCCAGGAAAACATGCTGTACCCCCCTTTCATAAGATTTACCCTGCTCTTGCCCAGAGGACAAGTAGGTTGGAGGAAGACAAGCAGAATCTCCATCCATTTATTCATTCAGCCGATAGAAAGCTCAGTTTGAATGTACCCTCTGCCATTTACTGACTGTGACCTTGGCCAAGTGTTTACTAATCTCAGCCTCTATTTTCCCCCATGTAAAATGGTGATAGTAAGGAAGACTAACTTAGCAGGGCTATTGTGAAGATTCAGTATTCACTGAACCCATGACTTGGGCAGGCCTTGCGGTAGGAGCTTAGGACAACAAAGTCCCGCCCTCTTGGAGCTTGTCCCTTGGTGGGGGAGACAGAGGATAGAGAAATGAGTCAGTACATAGCATGTCAGCTGGTGGCGAGGACTGAATTAGAAAAATAAGAGGGAATGAGAGAACAGAGAGCAAGGTGGGTGGCGTCTGATGACCAGAGATGTGAACAAACCAGGAGACTGAGCTGCGTGTGAGGAAGAGCTTTCTGGGCAGAGGGTAACATGTAACGCAAAGGCCTGTGGGCAGGGATTTGCTCTATAGTCAGAAAGGCTCCAGTAGAGAACAAGAATCCAGATGCAAGGCAACATGACAGAAATGGCAGAACCAGCCAGACCTGGAAGGTCCGAGGTGAGGGTGCAGTGCTGAGCCGGGGGCTAAGAGCACAAGCACCTTCTTAGTGGGGCCTCTCCTTCCTGCAGCATGAGCTCCTTCCTCTCTCCTGCCAGTCCATCGGCATGCAAGCAGGCTCTGATATAAGTCATCTTAAAACAAAACAGTCCCCAAAATTCCCAGTACCCAGTGTCCCCACCTAGCTACTGCTCCATTTCTCTGCTCTCTGTCACAGTCAGATACTAATGTCTATGACCTGGGTCTCCCCTTTGTCACCTGCCTCTCCTCAGTAACTTCAGCCTGACCTGAGCTTCCACATCTCCTGGATGCTCCTGTCATGGTCACCTGCCCCTCCGTATGACCAAGTCTTTGTTTCTCTGTCCTTCTCTGTGTGGCCTCTTCACAGAGTCCGACCCAGCTGATGTTTCTTCTTTCTGGAGCCCTTGGTTCTTCTGGCTTCTGGGACACCTCGTGGCCCTGGGCCTCCCACTGTCTTCCCCTCCATCTTGTTTGCTGGCCTGGCCTTGGCTCAGCTTCTAAATGTCAGAGGGTCTGAGCCCTCACTTCTCCAGCTGTACTTACCCCCCCATCAGCCACGTGCTGACCCCCAAACTTTTTCTTTTTTTAAGATTTCATTTATTTATTTGAGAGAGAGAGAGAGAGTGAGCACCAGCAAATGGAGCAGCAGAGGGAGAGGGAAAAGCAGGCTCCCCACTGAGCAGAGAGCCCGATGTGGGGCTCCATCCCAGGACCTGGGAACACAACCTGAGCCGAAGGCAGATGCTTAACCGACTGAGCCACCCAGGCGCCCCATGACCCCTGAACTCTTGTTCTGAATCTCGTGACCTCAGAATTTCAGAGTTGTGGATGTACTTGCTGAGAGCCATTGCATATCAAACTTGGTTATAAAATAGGGTCTTTGATTTCAAACCTAGTCAGTGGTTCCAGCCAAAATCCTAGAAGTTGTCCTGGAGCCTGGTTCCCTCTCCCTGGCACCCCCCCATCTCCATCCCTGCGGAGCCTCCCTCCCTCCCTGAAGCGTCTCCAACCTGTCCACTTCTCTCGCTGCCCTGGCCTCCAGCGTACCCTCCCACCTTGCCACAGTGGCTACTGCTAACACTCTTTCTTCCAGAATCCTTTCTCTGCTCAGCCACCCGAGAGCTCTGAAACTGAATCAGGTCCTGTTGCCCTCCTGCTTAGAGCTCTTGGGTGGTTTACCCTGATCCTCATTCTGGCTGGAAACCCTGCAGGATCTGGCCCTTCCCTGCCTCTTCCCTCATTCTCTCTCTCCCTGCCTCCCAATTTCATGTGTCTGGCTCCTTCTTGTCCATTAGGACTCATGTCCTTTAAATCTCAGCACCCTGGAGAGGCCTTCCCAGGCCACTGAGTCCAACACAGCCCCAGTCATGAGTCCTACCACTGTCTTGTCATTCTGGGCGTGGCACAGAGTATCATCCAAGAGTTTCCTACTTCTTTGTCCATCCATCCACCAGGATGGGAGCAGGACCTTTTCCACCTGGCTCACCACCAGATCGCAGCTGCTAGAAAGTGCTTCGCACATATTAGGTGCTCAGCAAACATTTGTTGAATAATTAAATGAATACTTACTATTTTTACTATATGGCTCCTAAAAATATATATTTGTTTAATAAGTAAGTGAATGAAAATAAAAAACTTATAAAGAAACATGCTTTGCTTCCTCATAACACTTCTCCCTTAAAAATGAACATGTTATTATCATCATTATTGGGGATAATCAGCTTACTGTTTTAAATACTTACCTTTCTTTTATTTTTTTAAGATTTTATTTATTTATTTGACAGAGAGAGACACAGCGAGAGGGAACACAAGCAGGGGGAGTGGGAGAGGGAGAAGCAGGCTTCCCACTGAGCAGGGAGCCCGATGCGGGACTTGATCCCAGGACCCTGGGATCAGGACCTGAGCCTAAGGCAGACGCTTAACGACTGAGCCACCCAGGAGCCTTTCTTTCTTATCTTTCTTAAATTAAAAATTACCTACACCTTGGGCACAAGCACAATCTTGTGCTCTAGTGCTCATGTTCGGATACACTTGATTGTTACTCCCATAGTGGACTTTCAAGGGTTACTGTGCTGCAGGTTGCCGGGAGACTGGTAGTTCTCAGTTCTGCACGTTAAAATCTCCTGGAAAGATTTTTTTTTTTTTTAAGATGTTATTTATTTATTTTAGAGAGAGAGAGAGAGAGAGCAGGAGTGCAAGCCGGGGGAGGACCACAGGCAGAGGGAGAGGGAATCTCAAGCAGACTCCGCACTCAGTGCAGAGCCCAACACGGGGCTCGATCTCAGGACCCTACCATCATGATCTGAGCCCAAATCAAAAGAGTTGGCCACTCAGTCGACTGAGCCACCAAGATGCCCCATCATAGTTTTTTAACTAAGTACTTAACTCTGTGTACCGTATCATAGCCATAAATATTAGGTGAGCATGTGTGTCTCTGTGTTTCAGTGTCTAATAATGATGTTCGACAAATTTGTCCATTCAGACTCCAGACTAGGAGTTTGAAAAACAGGGCTCTAATACTGCTTTAGTGACTAATTCACGGTGAGGCCGTTAATTTTAAATTAAAACGCTGCTGACCTAGTCCTTAGAGTGGTTATCTCAGGAACAGTGAGGTGTTTGTGCTGATCTGGCCACACCCTGTCACCTGTCCCTCACCAGAGACCAGTGTTTGGTGCTTCTCAGACCGAGGGCCTCACTGAATGCCACAGTGTGTAGACCCAGGGACGGAGGCTGTGACCTTGTCCTCACAATACTGTCCCCAGCTCCACTAGCTTACCACAGGCAGCCACGTTCCCGGACTGCAAGGGGAGGTGATGGAGACTTGAAGTTCTTCTAAACAGTGTTTTCTTCAGAGCTTTTAAAAGGTTTATCTGGACAGAAGTGAGAAGTTAAAGAGAGGTATACAGATCTAGACACTAGACACACACGTGAAAATATCCATAGGCACCTACGTTTGGATTTCCTATTGCCAGCTTTATTTCCACAGACATTTGTGTGACCTCATCAGGACCCTGTCATTGTGCCTCCTGAGGACTCTGGGAAGAAAAGTAAATAGAGAACTCACAGAATGGCTTTGATAAACTCTGTCTTTTTCATTCTCAGAGATGATTTTCTTTCACTGCCTTTCTTCCTGCTTTTGTTCAGCTCTCTCGTCTTTGAAATATGTTCGGTTAGCAGCCCATCATGGTTCGTGGGAATTTTCCATGGCTCCCAGCCTTCCCCCCACCCCCACTCCCTGCCTCCCCCTGTCAGTAAGAGGGCAGCCTCTGTTTTCACAGGTGGAACCAAGGCCTCACAGACACACCCCAGTGGCCCCGGCTGGGCTCGGAATAAAACCCCAACATTGCAACGCATGTGGATAAATTCCCTTAGATAGGGCTACAGTCTGTTCTCACTGATAAAGGAAAACTATAGAAATGGCATTTAAAATGAAAATATCGACCGATTTTCTTTAATGAATTAAATCTAAAAGTTTTGATAATTCCTTTATATTGAGGTTGATTTGGTGTTTTATTATTGTTTTTGCCTTTTTAGTAAGAATTACTCTAGCATTGTACCAAGAGTGAAAATTTTCTTTGCTTTTATTGTCTCAATACTTACCAGATTTTTAATATGTAAGCCAGTTAAACAATGAGAAAGACTTAAAACAGAATTTGTAAAAATCAGAAGAACAAGTTTATTATTGTAGATATAAAAACGAGCTATAATGAACGTAAACCTTATGGGATTGTCCTTCCATACTACACAGGTCATTAATTTTATTGATTTTTTTTTTTTTTTTTGCTTTCTTTAGATTTTTCTTGAAGTGATTGATTTCTCAATGGAGGAAAAAAAATAAATTTAAATAAGCCTCTTAGACCATTGGGGTTCAATTCTATTCTTTAAAAAATAAATATATATAAAATGCAAAATACTGTCAAGTGAGGTAAATAGTTTACTTCATAGTCAGTGAGGCAGCTAATGAGTGCTTTATCAAAATTATAGTAGGAAATAATCAATCCTTATAGGTTTTTCTCCCTAGTTCAGCATTTAGTGTAGAATGACACTGTTGTAGAATATACCAGGAATTTGGTCCTTTGAGAGAGTCAAGGTGTTTTCTTTTTCTTTGAGAGAAGTTGCACACTGAATATGCAGTATTAATAAAAGCAGAATGGCTTCAGTGAGTCTTTAAATACCAAGACTCACCATCTTGGTTCATTCCTCCCTTTGTCTTTGAGGGTTTTAATTTGTTCTTCAATTTCTGTAGGGGACACCTGTCTTTGTGCATGCTGGCCCCTTTGCTAACATCGCCCACGGCAACTCTTCAGTGTTGGCTGATAAAATAGCCCTGAAACTGGTTGGTCAAGAAGGATTTGTAGGTAAGTCATTTCTGTTAAATTTAGTTGTAGAATATGGAAGAAATCTAAAAGTTGATGACTGAACAAGAGCGCTGTCCATTCTGACTCAAAATATATTCTTTTAGACCGACCTTTCAAAGATGGTCTCAATATTGGAAAAGCACTATGGTCTCGTCTAGACTAGTAAAATGATGTTGTGTTTGAACTGTTGATTCGATGTCAAGTACCCATGGGTTTGCATATGAGCTCAGACACTTGCTGCTAGAGTGATTTTGGACACATTTTAATGACCTCTGAGCCTCAGTCTTCTCATCTATAAAATGGTGACTACAATATTGTAGCAAACCTTATGGAGTTATTGTGAAAACCAAATGAGATTATTTATTGATTCAGCCAATATTTACTGAGGACCTACTATGCACAAGGCATGCTACTCAGAGCTGGAGATACACAGTGAGGAAAACAGACCCAGCCCTGCCTTCATGGAGCATACTGCCTAATGCTGTATGTCATTAATAGAAGAAGTGCTCGTTAACTGTTAGCTGTTATTAGCAGTCGAAATCAGTTTGCTCTTCCTCAAATTGGAGTATGTTTTTGTGTCGAATGGAGGGGAGATTCCCAGCCATTAGACTTGGAAATTTTAATTGGTAGGACTTCAGATGTTGTGCTGCAAAGGTGTCCTTTGGTGGCACCTGCTGGTCTTCGGTTTTCGATGGAAATTCCAGTCAGGAAGAAGGGGTAGCTGCCATAGAGTTTGCTCTGTCAGGGCTAGTCCCAGTCCCACCCGTGAGGTGGAAGCAACAAAGGGCAAACAAATAAGGATTCTTGGAATAACACCATCATTTGACATCAGACAGACCACAGTGGCAGATTTTTCACATGCCACCAGGTAATTTCCACTCGCCACATTCGTGCCTGTAATCATCAAGTCTAGCAGTTGCTTCTTTCACACTAATCATCAGCCTTGTAATCAAACTCAGAAGTGAATTATTTTACTAGAAAAGATTCTACTGGGCTAAAGAACTTAGCACTGCACTTTTATGCTCAGCCATTATAAAGTTCACTTAGAGTTATTGAGACCGTTTTTAAGAATTCCCTATAGACATGCAGTCAGGATCCAATGAGAATTTATGTAGTTCATTCCTCAAGGTCTGTATTGTATAGTTCTTGTGTACTTTGCTGCTTTGGTACGGAATCTACTATGAGAGTGGCTAGACTTGCCATCTAAATGGATTTGCTCCATTGATCACAGCATAACTCTAGAGCTAATGGACCAGGAGTCTGGGAAGGGCAGGCACTGAAAAGTTGGGTGCTTATGTGAAGTGGTGGTTCTAATGCATCAACTCCACAAATGAAAGAGCTTCTAGAAGAAAACACTCTATTATGTGCTGACAGAGCTCTCTGCTCCTGTGCCAATCCTTACTTTGTCCGTATACATTTACAGAATATGTGTTATCGTGGCAAAGCATCTTTAAAGGTATAGGCTGATGATGTTTGCAAAACATACTGGCTTTCTGTGTGACCTTGGACCATCCATTAGCCTCTCTGGGAGTGTCCCTGGTAGACATTCTCATGTGAAAAAGGTGAAATGAGGAATTGCGTATGGATGGGCAGCCCTGACCCTGAGATCAAAGCTGTGGGATCATAACCCTACCTGGTAGTGTGACCTGAAGTAAGTTACCTAGCTTCTCTAGGGTTCAATTCCCTCCTTTCATAACTGCAGTATTTTAATGAGTAGTATCAAGTGAGAAATGGCTGTGTAAACCATGGCAAACCAGTCAAATGTCAGTCATTTTGCTAATGCTTTCTATGATCTCTTCTAGTCTAAGAGGGTGTAGGTGGGGGGGGATTCAGTGACAGAAATCTGCCCACTGCCGGATGGGTTAGGGTGCTAGCTCTAGAGTCAGAGTAACTGGCTCTACTCCTTTCAAGTTGTGTGACATTAGGCAACTTAACCCTTCTTAGCCTCAGTTTCCTTATCTGTAGAATGGGGCTTTAAATAGAACCCTATTTAAACCCCATAGGTTTGAATGAGGTTTGAATGAGACTGCTTGCTAAGTCCTGGCACAGCATCTGACACATGGCAAGACTTGGTGATAATTCTTAGCCACTTCTCATTATTACTCTCCCCATCATTGATCCTTGACTAATAAAGGTTAAATTTCCCCTTTTTCATTTAGGGTTTTGGGGTGGTTCTTTTTTTTGTGGGGGGAGTGATTTTATTTTTAACTGTGGTAGAATACATCGAACAAAGTTTATCATTTTAACCATTTTTAAGCACACCATTCAGTAGTCAAATACTTTTGCGTTGGTGTGCAACCATCACCACCATTCATCTTGCAAAACTGAAACTCTGTACCCATTAAACAATAACTCCCCACTCCCCATTCCCCCAGCCCCTGGCAACCACCCTTCTACTTTCTGTCTCTGAGTTTTTGACTATTCCTCATATCGGTATTTGTGCCCTCCTGTGACCGGCTTATTTCACGTAGCATAATACCCTCAGAGTTCACCCATGTTGGATCATCTGTTCAAATTTCCTTGGTTTTCAAGGCTGAATAATGCTCCAATTTATGTATGCCATGTTTTGTTTATCCACTCATCTGTCTGTGAACACTTGGGTTGCTTTCACCTTTCGGCTTTTGTGCATAATGCTGCTATGAACGTGGTACGCAAATAACTCATGTTAGTTTTAATTCAACTAAAGATCGCGCTTCATTATGTATAACTGTGTGACAGCAGTGACTTGCAAAATATATGTAGACTCAAGACCCATAATGTTAAACTCTCACGAAGGAGGTACCCTAATGCCATGGCTGCACTGGAATGTGGGAAGCAAAGCCAAGGTGTTGAACTGTGGGAGCAGGGCATGCCTGGAAACAGTGCTCTTAGCCCCCTTGCCTGGTCAAGCCTGGTCTGTGGGCTACATTGGATGAAATTTCAATTAATAGCTGGTTCCTCTAAACATTGTTTTAAATTCTTCTAATCACTTTCTGTCATAAGAATGGTCTCATTCTAATAAAAAATGTGGGTGTAGTCTTATATGAAATAACTCCAAATCTCATTCCAGTTTAAGTCTCTCCAATCTTGGGCCTGCATTTGGCTGATAAGGAGAAGGGAACGGTAGCTTTTTCTCTGTCCCCCGTTAACGTGCACTTAGTCTGCCTCTGGCCCCTCTAGGGTTGAAGCTTGGACATTCGATGGTACCCGTCCAGCCTCTTCCAGCAGAGGACCCGCACTCTTGGCAGAAACCCTCTGGGCAGTATCCCTTTGAGAAAGTCCTACTGCTAATTCAGTACCTGATCTCCAGGCACCACAGACCTTTGACCTGTGACCTTACCATTGGTGAGAGTGCAGTTACAACTCTCACCTGAGTCTCTGCTCCACTGCAGGGGCTGTTTCTCTTCAGCCTGCAGACTTGTAGTCATCTCCAACCCACCACTGTGCCCCTGCCTTAGAGGAACCTCCAGTTGTGCATTTAGAGCCTTACTCGTTAGCTCCATATCCTTTCCACTGGGATGTGGGCAGTGGGATTCTGCACATTGATAACTTGCTTTGAAGAAATCCTTTCCTGGCTTCTAACTTGATCAACGCTTTGAAAACTCAAGGTAGCTGTTGGGCTCAAGGATACAGAATCTATTTTCAAATAATGTCTTTGCAAATGCTGCTAGGTTTAGCTTCACCCTTTAGCATGAGAACAATTGACACTGTTTTGGGGCTTCAGACAAAAGTGAAACCAAAAGAGCCCCATTTTAACATCCTCCCACAGAAGTTAAATGCAGTAGACATAGGTTTATCTGAAGTCTGTGAGAGAATTTATGTCCTCAGAAAAGTCATTGTTTATAGGAGTCTGTGCCTCTTAAGATATAAAAAGCCCAAATCCAAAAGAAGATTGATAATTTGGGTTACGTTAAAAGATAAATTCTGTATGATAAAAGATACAGGATTTCAAAAACAAGTGACGGACTAGGAGAAACCTTTGTAGAGGTAACAGACAAATGACTAACATTTGGAATGTATATAAACCACCAAGAATTATGGATTGATTTTTTAAGACAAGTAAGCCAATAGAAAAATGGGCAAAGGATTTGAAAGGGTAATTTACAGAAAAAGAGCACCCTGACAGAATTTCTGGGTCAAACTGAAAATGTGCAAACAATCTAGCAACTTCAGTTCTATGTCATACCTTGGAAAAGAAGTAACTGAAGATTTATTTAAGTCCTTTGAAATAATTGACTTCAGTACACATGTATTGAGCTTCTGCTGTTATGTCAAGTAATATACGGTGGGAGCTGGGAATCAGAGATACAGGACATGTTTCTTAGCCTCCAGTCATTTATAAGGTGGTGTGAGGGATAAGCCCATAAACAGAACCTCAGTGGTAAGTGCAATGCACTTATGAGATTAAGTATCCTACTGATTAACGAAGAACCTTAAGAGATGATAGGCATCTCTTAGATAGAATTTTCCCGATACTATGGGTTTTGTGAGATATATTTAGTCTAATTTTTTGTTCTATCCTAACACACACGGGGAAGGAATTATTTTGTCTACTCTGCAATAATTATTCCAAGATAATGGGATCAATATTCCGTTTAGACTAAAAATAGAGTGAAATTTATTTAATTACAGTTGACCCTTGAACAGTTTGATGGTTGGGGCACTGATCCCCATCCTGTGTAGTTGAAAATCCCCATATAACTTTTGACTCCCCCACAACTTAACTACTAATAGTCTACAGTTGATTAGAGCCCAATCAATGACATAAACAGTCAGTTAACACATATTTTGTATGTTATGTATATTATATACCGTAACCTTAAGATAAAGCAAGCTAGATAAAAGAAAATAATATCTTTTTTTTAAAGATTGTGGTGGTAGAGGGAGAGAGAGAATCTCAAGCAGACTCCCCAGTGAGCGCAGAGCCGGACGTGGGGCTCCATCCCAGGACCCTGAGATCATGACCCGAGCCAAAATCAAAAAGAGTCAGCTACTGAACCTACTGAGCCACCCAGGAACCCCAAGAGAATATAGTATTAAGAAAATCATAAGGAAAAGAAAATACATTTACAGTACTATACTGTATTTATCAAAAAGAAAATCTGAGGGCGCCTGGGTGCCTCAATCGGCTAAGCGTCTGCCTTCAGCTCAGGTCATGATCCCAGAGTCCAGAGAATGAGCACCGCATCAGGCTCCCTGCTGAGCAGGGAGCCTGCTTCTCCCTCTCCTCCGTACTGTGCTGTCTCGCTCTCTCTGTCTCTCTCTCTCTCTCTCTAATAGATAAATAAATCTTAAAAATATATACACACACACACATGTATATATAAAAAAAGAAAATTTGTATATAAGTGGACCTATCCAGTTCATACCCATGTTGTTCAGTTAACTGTAATTGCACAAATTTGTCAGTCTAGACCAAAATAGCCCCTGAGAATTTGGGGGTAAAATGCTGTGGTCCCCGTGATAGCTATTTCTATTCCTCCTTTAGCCAACAGTCCTCATGGGAGTCCACTTAACCTCCATTCACTGCTGTAAAAGCAAACATTTCTTTGGCATCAAATCCTAATCATGTGTTATTTTTTAAAAAATAAGAAGAAAGAAAAGGAAAACAACATTGAGTTTCTAGGCTTTAATAAATTATCTCATTTTTAAACTATTTGTAAGGATTTCAAACTTACACATGATCCTTGGTTTTTTAAATTTGCTTTCTGTTTTCTTAATTTGGTTTGGATTCCCATTTCGAATGAATACCTTTCCTTCACTCTGGAATTCAGCATACACTTGTACGCATTTAAGCTAGGAGTTCTTAACTGGTAGCTACCAGCCACCCCTCCCATGATTAAATACAGAATTCTATACGTACCTATATAGTTGGTTGGTTGTGTTTTTTTTCTTTTTTAACAAGAGAAGGGCTCCATGACTCTCGTTAGATTTTTCAAAAGGGTCCATGATCCAAAAAAGATCAAGACCCAGGGTCTCCTCATAGCCTAAGGGATGCTGTGTGGCATTTCCCCATACTTCCTTTATAGTGACCTATACGAAGCTTTGGTGGCTTTTAACGTTCCACTTACATTTGACATTTAGCATCCTCTTCCAAAGTGCTGGGCAAGATGTTGCCTGAATTGAGTGAGTCTTCTCCTTGGCATCTGCAGAGAGCGCCACTGACCTGCCCTGGGTTCTCCCCAGGCTGCCTGGGTACATAAGCAGAGCAGACTGTGGGTCAGGAGAAAATGTTAGACCAGTGCCTGGTGGTTAAATCATGCACTGAGCTTCGCCCTGAATGTTTCAGGATTAGGGTTTCGAGATCAGAATAAATAACCATGGTCATTCTAAGACAAACTGAGGGGGATTGGGATGCAAAGGCTCGTTAATATTTTCATTACAAATGCTGCCATTCTCTGAGCGGTTCCCAAGCTACAGACCTGTGTTCCAAACCAGCCATCACCTGCATTCTCACCGAAGCCTGAAACAGTTCTGGGGGGTGGGGTTGTTATCCTCGTTTTTACAGATGACCCAACTGAAGCCTAGAGAGATTACAACATGTGTCCTCTGTCACCCAGCCAGTAAGTGGCAGAGGGTGCAACCTCAGGGCCCCCTCCTGCCAAAACCTGTGCAGACGGTCAGTTGACCACTGTGCCTACAGTGATTTTCTCGTTTCTCTTTAGCTGGTTCCCACCCACTCCCATGAAAAAACACCAAGTTTCAGATGACCTGTCTACAGGGGATGGCCACAACTTAAAATCGTACCAGTATAATTATACTCTGCCGAACTGTAATAATGTCTGCCAACAGTGGTGGGATACTTTTGGGTTTTCTTTCATTTCTTTTTTTTTTGTAAATTATTATTATTATTATTTTTAATTTTAATTCCAGTGTAGGGACTTTTTTTCTTCTTCTTCTTTTCTCCTGACCACTTTAAGAGATGTTTCTCCCTAATACAGTACTAATTAGAAGGTTATCTTGTTGAGTCACAACATCTTACTGCTCCCCTTACTTATCCACTGTCCTTTTGCAAAACGTTTAAATCTTGCTCCTTGGGCTTCAGGAAACCCTGCTCGCAGCTTCAACCAGTCACCGGCTTGTTGTCTGTTTCCATTTTTTATTGCCATCAAATTTTAAATATCCTTTCATTTCAGTAGAAGAGAACCAGACCAAACTAAACATTCCTACAATTTCACCCACCCTTTAAAAAAATCTGACGTCAAGTGGTCTCCCAGCTTTCTAAGCTGGAATTCTCCCAGACCGCACTCTGTTTACATTATTTAGAAGCACAGATCTCAGCCTAGGCTCTATTTTTGTTAGGATACTTCCAATTTTTTTTCCTCCAGTGATTGTATCCGTAATTAAATCAAGGACAAGAAGTGCAGAGGTGTCCGTCATGTGCTAATCTTCGGGGAAACTACTCATCGCCAGTGATGTTCTTTTTTTTTTTTTTTTAAAGATTTTATTTATTTATTTGACACAGAGAGAGAGAGACAGCAAGAGAGGGAACACAAGCAGGGGGAGTGGAGGAGGGAGAAGCAGGCTTCCCGCCAAGCAGGGAGCCCGATGCGGGGCTCCATCTCAGGACCCTGGGATCATGACCTGAGCCGAAGGCAGACGCTTAACAACTGAGCCACCCAGGCGCCCCACCAGTGGTGTTCTTTAAGCCTGGTATTCAGAAGCCCAGTCAGAGAAGGTGGTTTTCACTATCCCGGGAGTTCTGACATCTCTAATGTAGCTTGAGACCTGATCACATTCTCCCTCATTCTCGAGGCTGGTCCTTATTCCACCCCACCTTTCTCTGCCCGTGCTTCTGTATAAAGTCACCCTCCCCTCTTTCATCAGCTAGTCTTCTGCCCTTAAAAAACGTAAGTGGGGAAAAAAAGGTGAAATATACTGAGTATACAGTTTCCAGGAAAATATGCAGATTAATATAATAAATGCCTGTATTCCCATCATTCACTGAGTTGTGTTAAAATCATAACATCGCTATGTGCGCTTTAGTTTGTTGGGGTTTTTTTGTTTTTTTTTTTTTAATTTTATTTATTTGTTTGAGAGAGAGAGAATGAGAGACAGAGAGCATGAGAGGGAGGAGGGTCAGAGGGAGAAGCAGACTCCCTGCCGAGCAGGGAGCCCGATGCGGGACTCGATCCCAGGACTCCAGGATCATGACCTGAGCTGAAGGCAGTCGCTTAACCAACTGAGCCACCCAGGCGCCCTGTTGTTTTGTTTTTTAAATAAAACATTCAACACAGAGTTGAGGTCCCTGTGAATCCCTCCCTGATCTCCTTCCCTTTTCTGCTTCTCTAGAGGAAGCCACTCTCCCAATTTAGGGATTATCATTTCCAGGCGTGGTTTATACTTTTATTCCATAAGTACGTATCCGCAAAAGATCTACAACAGAGATTCCTGGACCTTCTCGTTTCATGTAGTGTCTCAGCAGTTTTTTCCTAAGGCATATGAGGCCAACAGAAATACCTAACACATCCATTTATTAAGTAGTTAGGTCCAAACAACTTAATGGATATTTATGTCTTGACACCTTAGTAGCTGCCTGAAAAAAAGAATACATACAAATTGAAAGGAAAGATATTATTTCATTTTTTTTTAAAGATTTTATTTATTTGAGAGAGAGAGAGAGCACATGAGAGGGGGAAGGGTCAGAGGGAGAAGCAGACTCCCCGCCGAGCAGGGAGCCCGATGCGGGACTCGATCCCGGGACTCCAGGATCATGACCTGAGCTGAAGGCAGTCGCCCAATCAAGTGAGCCACCCAGGTGCCCGATATTATTTCATTTTTAAATAGCCACCATAACTTATTATTGAGATGTGTGTCTTTGTTGGGCACTGAACAACTTCTCGGTCCTTGAGATCGGTGGACGCTTCAGAGTTCATTTCCTGTTCCCCAGTGGCTTTCACACCGTTCGTGCTCTTACTGCAGCAACAGTCAAAAATTTGGCTTCACAAACATATGTCACTGAAAGGAGTGTAGGGCGATAAAGTGGAAACCAGGAACTACCTCAGAGTAGAACTTGCAGGGCTCAACAGATGTCAAGTATTACCGAGCTTCCCTGCAAACTTGAAAACACCCCATGGCTCCTCCAAGTTCAGTGCAGTGGCTCAGGACAGCCCAGCACGTCAGTTTCGGAACCGCAGATATGCAGCATGTTTCTGTAGCATTTTATAGGTTTGAAAATTTTATGCATTAATAAATCTTACTATCTGCATTGCGCTACAAGAGAGATCAGCCAACTTTTTATATAGGCTTTGTGTGTCATAGCATCTCTGTGCAAATATTCAGTTGCAAAAGGCAGCCACAGGGAGCCCCGAAAAATGCAGGAAGGAAGCCATGTTCCAACAGATTGATTTATTCAGACTCTGACATTTGAATTTCACCTAATTCTCACATGCAATGAAGTATTATTCCTCTTTTGGTTTTTTCCCCCAAACATTAAAAAATGTAAAAAAAAAAAAAAATTGAAGACTATAAAAAAGTTGCAGGCCACCTAAAAGCAGAAGGCAGGCTATTTTTGTTCAAACTGACATTCCTGCGTTTATCCGAGTAGCTGTGATCAAAGAAGCCTCATCCAACCCGTAGTGAAGTCTTCCTTGGCATGAACATAGGCACATGCATTTGTGCGCTCTTCCTTCAGGGGCACTGAGATTCCTTTCTGGTGTTCTGTTGCAAATAATGCTACCGGGAACATTCTAGTTTGTATCTCTGAGAATACGAACACAAGTCTCCGTGCAGCAGTCTTCGAGGGTCTGTTCCCAGGAGTGAGGTGTTAGGTCTGAATATGACCACTTGGCCATTATGTGTTGTAACACATAATGTAACTTCTCCTGTCTGTGCCTTGTCTTTTAAATGTGTTCATTGTACCTTTTCTTTTTCCATCCTTTCTGTTCATGATTTCTGCTTTTGGAGTCACAAAGATCATTGATATTGGCTTATAAAATGCTGCCTCTTACATGTAGGCCTTTAAATATCTCAAGGTTTCTGTTCGTTTAGGGTGGCCCTTTTCCCGAAGTCATAACATTTGTGAAATTTTTTCCTCCTTGGTGACTCTTTCGGAGGTGGCTGTCAGCGCCAGCCCTTAAAAACAAACAAAAAAGGCCCAAGCAGGTTCCGTAGATTTAAATCAATCAGGAGCTCAGCTCCCCTCGTTCCATGCCCCCTTTCAAGGTCGCTGCTGGTGGTGGGACCTGCACTTGGAACTGCTCTCTAAGCCACCTACTCTGGCCAAGTGAGGGTCTCCCTCCTACTCCGCCTCCCCAGGGAAGAGCAGCGACCAGTTAGATGGTCTCCGACACTGCTTGCCAGGCGCAGAGCCCAGGCTTTCTGCAAGGAGATCCACGCATCATCTCCCCCTCCCCCTGACTAGTCACCTCTTGATGCTGGACTTGCCTTGGCAGTGGTACCTGGTTTTTGGAGAATTGAAAAGCTATCCTACTGCCTCTTCTAATTCTATGTTGTCCAGTTCTGAACATTTGTCATAAACGGTCCCGTGGGCCTTTGAAAAGAAGGTTTAATTTTATGGCCTATTTACTTTTCTGTTTGACAAGATACTTTGAATAAAACTATCTTAACTTTTGCAATACTGTCAGTTCATCTATTTGGTTATTATTTGTATTGCTGATATGGTCTCTAAATATAAATCAATCCAAAAGTGTTTTTGAGATAAGGAAGAAATAACTTTCACTATAGAAGATGTCAAAAACTTCAGGTCTTTATGATCTAGCTCAGCAAAAAAAGGAGTATGTGATGATACCAGTTTTCTAGAATTGATTTGCAGAAGAAGAATACAAAACATTTATCCCCTTTCTTGTGGGAAAGTAGTTGAAGAGTTTTTAATTAGAAGCCTAGTTTCTGTTTGTCTTTTTCCATGGTGCACATGGGATAGTAAATTATGAGAAGTCATGCCCCCCACCCCATTTCTCTGCCTCTCCACGAAGTGCCCACCATCCTGAATTTTGTGTATTGATGATAAGACTTTTTAGTTATTGCTGCCGACTTACATATATTTTGTATGTATCAACTCTGTCATAAATTTTTTTAAAAAATTTAGAAACAGGATTTGTTAATTAACAATCACCAGATTTTACAACCTGATCTTTCAGAGTTTTGGTGGAATTAAGTTAGAGTAATATTAAGTTACACTAATATTTTTTGTTTCCTGTTTTGGCTGATAACAGTTTTTAGGTCATTTTCTGCTACATATGCTGAAAATCAAGATAATGGAGATGATTTTCCATAGAGCAGCCAAATATAATAGATTGCCAGCTCCAGCTGCCTAGGTTTTTTATTTATTTTTTATTCAAGTAGAGTTAACATACAGTGTTGTATTAATTTCAGGTGTACAATATAGCGATTCAACAATTGTACGCGTTGCTCAGTGCTCCTCAAGATAAGTGCACTTCTTAATCCCCGTCACCCATTTAACCCATCCCCCCACCCCCCTCCCCTCTGGTAACCACCAGTTTGTTCTCTATAGTTAAGAGTCTGTTTCTTTGTTTGTCTTTTTTTCCCCCCTTTGTTTTGCTTCTTAAATTCCACTTATGAGTGAAATCATATGATATTTGTCTTTCTCTGGCTTATTTCACTTAGCATTATACCCTCTAGGTCCATCCACTGTTGTTGCAAATGGCAAGATTTCATTCTTTTTTATGGCGGAGTAATATTGCATTGTATATATATCCCATCTTCTCTACCCATTCATCTATCGATGGACACTTGAGTTGCTTCCATTATCTTTGCAACTGTAAATAATGCTGCAGTAAACCTAGGGGTGCATGTATCTTTTCGATAAATATCCAAAGAAAACTAAAACACTAATCCAGCTGCCTAGGTTTGAATTGCCCTCTGCCATGTGCTGGACGTGTCCTTGGGTAGGTCACTTAACTTACCCAAATCACAGTTTCTCCAGTACCTATCACAAGGCTTATTCTGCAGATGACATGCAGTAATGTTGGAAAAAGTACAGACCCAGACCCACACGGAACAGTGGATGCCAGCTACCATTTCCACCTTAAGATGCTAAGGATCTTTACTTTTTAGATAACTCTTCACAAATACTAATTCAGTTTTCAAGTGAAGAATAGCTTTGTGAGTACACTTGATGAAACTCCTATGAAACTCATAGAGGGATTTGAGTTCTGCCAGTGGGAAACACTGTTGCTTGTATCTCTTCTTATACAAAGGCATCCAGGACTATCCACACCAGGGATCTAAGAGATCTAAGGGGATTGGATTGCTTCAAATACCCTCCTTTCGGGTTAGGGAAATCCTTCTAGAAGGCCTTGTTCAAAATACTCTGTGGTTACCAGGGAGAATGACGGATGCCCTGGAGCCCAGTGGATTCACAGGTGCATGATATCATTCCAGCATATCCCTGTCTTGCCTAAGCCTTGCACTATGGAATGCAAAAGAGCTCAAGAAACTGAAACTCAAAAATTGTTGAGAAACAATGCAGAGAGTCTTTGCAATGGCATTAAACATGAAAATTAAAAACATACGGTCTGAAATTCAACTGGCATATTTAACATCTCAAATATACTCTGGTGCCAAAAGGGATGCTAATCACAACATGAGGGATTCAGCTTCTTATTTGGGAAAGACCATCACTGCCAAGGGGAGAGAGGCAGGAAGCAAATCATTTTGCAATCTGAAAAAATAGAGTAGCTAAGTCACGTAGGATATGCTACTTTTACCCGTCTTGCAGAGCCAATAGGTCCAATACTCTTGCTTTTATTTCCCGGTGCACTTGTGTAAGAATTTCACCTAGGGGAAATGTAAGTATCTTGGGAACATCCCACATGTATGTAATATAAAACAAGTACCTTTTGTTTGTTAAAGTAATGTTCTAATCATTATAGAGGACTCAGAAACTTTTCATAAGAAGAAAATTCAAGTCCTATCCAGTATGTCCATACAGATATTTCACATTTTGTTCTAATCCTGCCCTTCTTCTATGCAGGCTTCCTTGTAAAGGACGTTGTAATCCCACTGAGATGAGTTACTCACTTTTATCTATTTATGTAGACCTTGTAGAGTCTATAGGTCCAACACTCTTCTGAAAAAAGGCCATTCTCCAAACTGTTTCTCTCTTTCTGCTGCACCCACCCCCACCGTTCCCCACCGTGTAATCTCTTATTGGGGAATTTTCTTTCCGACATTCTGCTGGTCAGTTCTGAGTTTCATCCTGCTCAGCTCTTAGCCACATCGGGTGGGGCTTCTCTCCTCTTCCTTAAAGCTCTTTCTAAATGTCAGCCTCTCCTGGCTCTCCTCCCAGCTGCTATTTCCAGGGCTGTCCCTTTGTGGGAGCGCCCCATCTATATACAGCTGTATCCCTAGCTTCTCCATAAAAAGTCATTAAATGTCTTCCCAATTCAGAGAACTTTATAGAGGCAGGGAAGGGAACAGTTCGTAACTTTTTCATCAATATTTCAATTACATTAGAAGATGTTCCGAGTGGTCAGGTGTTTGCACACATATGTAAGACTGAGTGCACAGGGTAGGCATGAATGCAGAAGGATTAGGTGTTCTTGGCCACTCAGATGTCACAAGTGGTTATTGGCATTGGTGACATGATCTTCTGAAAAAGCACACAACTCGTGGCAAAGTTAAGGCTAACCTTTCTTCAGTGTTCACTGTTGTTTGCATTCGTTGAAAAATGGGCATATATTGATAGCTTGAAAAATATTATATTTCTATGTAAAACAAACTAGGGGGAAGGTTCTAGCCCCCTATAATCATAAGCAGGTTTTTCAACTACAAGAGTGTCTGGAGGGAAGATCCTGTGGGCAGGGGACAAATTTCTGTGGGACCACCCTGCATGTTGCAAGATGTCCAGCATCCTGGCCCCACCCACAGCTCCTCCCACTCACTAGGAGAACCAGATAGACCCCCAGGTGGTACCCCTCTGTTGGGCACTGACAATCCTTCTGCACCTCTGTTCTTTCATCTATAAAGCCAGGGAAAACCATGCATCTAAAGCACATAGAGAAGTTCCTGGCATGGATAAGTTTTACTCCTAGGGACAAGAGTTTACCTTCCTTGAGGACCTGCTGTGTGCTGGGCACCCTCCTGGGGGCTTTATAGGTGTTATATATGTTCATATGTTTTATAACAACCCTAGGAGATAGTTACCAGGATAACCTCCTGTTCTAGGAGAGGAAATGGAACATCAGGGTGAACTATTAGTTTGTCTGAAGGCAAACAGGTAGTGCAATGAGGATCAGGGATTTGAACCTAAGTCCTTGGCCCCAGAGCCTTTGCTCTTCCCGCTGTGCCTTACTGTTTCCTCAGTGGTCGCTGTCATTCCATATCATCATCATAGGGCCTATGCAGAGCTCCTAATGGGCACTAAATGTTTTTTGAATGAAAAATTATTAATGCACATGAGTTGGCTGAATGACTTACCTGCTGGTAAATGTGTCCAAATTTCCACTAGGCTTTTAATGGTGAATATGGACATATTTGCCAGGTAGTTTGTTGAAGCAGTATTTAAATAAAGAGCAATTAAATAAAAACAGTAAAATGTTTGGGGAAAGTTTTGAAAGAAGTTTTGAACTTTAGGAATATCTAACCTAACCTCAACTGTTTACATTTACAAAATGCCAGTTTATTTTCAATGAGATATCTAGCCTATCCCTCGTTAAGATTTATGCATATTCTGGGGCGCCTGAGTGGTTCAGTCCTTAAGTGTCTGCCTTCTGCTCAGGTCATGGTCCCAGGGTCCTGGGATCGAGCCCCGCATCGGGCTCCCTGCTCGGCGGGAAGCCTGCTTCTCCCTCTTCAACTCCCCCTGCTTGTGTTCTCTCTCTTGCTGTGTCTCTCTCTGTCAAATAAATAAAATAAAATCTTAAAAAAAAAAAAAAAGATTTATGCATATTCTAAATAATGTTCTTAATGTAATTGTGCTTCCCATCATAAAACGTGGAGTTAAAGTAGACCTTTATCAGGTTTTACGGAGATTAGTACTATGAAAGTTAACATAAAATGATTTTAAAATGTGATCAAGATTAAACTTGAGGTTTGAAATTCACAAAATGCAAGGCTTTTTAAGGAGGTTATTAAGATCCAGTGTTCAGTGAATGACTTCTAAATTTCCATTGTGTGACTGTTATTTTACCCTATCTTGGCTGAGAACTTTCAACCTAAAAAGACTCAAATTACCCTAACCTAATATGTGAATTGTAGTTTAGAAAATTATAATTCCATGAGGTTGTTTTAAACTTTTAGCAATGTTTGGTATAATTACAATATTGTACTGTTCTTATTCGAAGAAAGCAGTAGAATTTCTGGCAAGGAATATTAGGAAACTGGTAACTGTTAAAGGAACAGTGGAGCCTTTTGTGGACCTCTTTACATCTTTTGGGGGGCAGAGAAAGAAACATTAATTATTAGTGTTTTCTAAAACCCTCCTCTCTTCCCAGATTCAACCATAAAGTTGTTTGGGTTTTTTTTAAAGATTTTATTTATTTATTTGACAGAGAGAGAGAGATCACAAGTAGGCAGACAGGCAGGCAGAGGGAGAGGGAGAAGCAGGCTCCCTGCTGAGCACAGAGCCCGATATGGGGCTCCATCCCAGGACCCTGGGATCATGACCTGAGCCGAAGGCAGATGCTTAACCATCTGAGCCACCCAGGCGTCCCAACCATAAAGTTGTTTTATCTATTAATACTTTGGGGGGGTTTTGTGGCTTTTTAAAAGATTTTATTTATTTAGGAAGAATGACAGAGCACAAGCAGGGAGAGGGAGAAGCAGGCTCTCTACTGAGGGCTTCCAGAATGATATTGTAGAATTACTGTTGCCAGGACTCCCGTGAAGATGGTGTTTCTTTCCACCCCCACCTCCCTCACATAAGTCATTCCCGCTTCCCGAAGGGGAACAGTTGGGGGGTGGGAAAGGGCAAGAATCCTATCCAAGGGTGCTCCCTCCCTAGGAAAGGGCTCTGTCAGCAGGTAAAAATGTGGGTGCTGTAAGACCTGCAAGACTATCTCCATGTATTTCCACAAACACAAGATCACAGAAATACAATGTCCAGTGAAAAAGCAGGTTGTGGGATTGTAAGTACAGTCTAGCATGTTCATAAGATACAAAAATAGCACTGTCTTTTGTTTATGCCTTTGTATGTATGTACAAGTAGGAACGCAAGACCTGGATAAGCACCAAGTTAGTAAGAGTTTCCCTCTGGGGATGTGGGGAGGAGGGAGCTCAACTGGGGGCCCAGGCACAGGAGATGGCAGGGGGACCTCAGCTCTCTCTATGTTGTTTACCTTCTTTGTAAAAGGAAAATAGGCAATTGTGGCAAGATGTTAATGTTTGTTAGTTATGCATTGGGGGAAGGGTGGAGAGGAAATTCAGGTCTGTAATTTAGGACAGAGGCTGAGACCAGAGCCTCTGATTGGCAGTCCTCATTAGAATGTGGTCAAGTATTTAGCATTTTTGAGCTAAATCTAGATGTTAATAGTCATGCTTAGAGGGTCAGGGCTTTACATTACTTTCTAGCGGAAGTGATGGATGAATGCCAATAGCTGATGTAGTCAGGCCGGCCCAGCCAGGTGGTGAGGCTTCCTCTACACACTGAACTGGGAGAAACCGAGGCTGTGTGCGCTGCTTTCCAGGGGCATCAAGGATGGCTTATTCGGGGGCGCCTGGGTGGCTCAGTCGTTAAGCGTCTGCCTTCGGCTCAGGTCATGATCTCAGGGTCCTGGGATCGAGCCCCGCATCGGGCTCCCTGCTCAGTGGGAAGCCTGCTTCTCCCTCTCCCACTCCCCACTGCTTGTGTCCCCTCTCTTGCTGTGTCTCTGTCAAATAAATAAATAAAATATTAAAAAAAAAAAAAAAAAAGGATGGCTTATTCGTCCACGAAGTGCTCCTTATTCCACACTGAGATGTTCAGTTATATTCGAACGAATGAGGTTCTTAGAAAATTTTCCATATTTTCGGGGCACTTGGGTGGCTCAGTCGTTAAGCGTCTGCCTTCAGCTCAGGTCAAGATCCCGGGGTCCTGGGATCAAGCCCCGCATTGGGCTCCCTGCTCCTCGGGAAGCCTGCTTCTCCCTCTCCCACTCCCCCTGCTTGTGTTCCCTCTCTCGCTGTCTCTCTATCTCTCTCTGTCAAAATAAATAAATAAAATCTTAAAAAAAAAAGATCCTGGGATCCTGGGATCAAGCCCGCATCAGGGTCCCTGCTCAGCGGGAGTCTCCTTGCCCCTCTCCCCTTCCCCCTCCCCCCTGCTCATGCTCTCTCTCTCTCTCTCTCAAATGAATAAATAAAATCCTTTAGAAAATGTCCATATTTTCAAGTGTTGAGGCACACGAACATTCTGAATGTCAAACACCAACAATCTGAGTACCTTCTCTTGATTTCCCCCCATCTTGTTTAGTCCTTTTTTGTTTTATAAAATTGCATGAATGCTTTGGTTGAGTATGGATTTTTATTACTTTTTAGGGTTAGGCAATAATTTAATGATGTAACTTCTAAAAATATTCAAAACAACTACAAAAACAGTTTTTTGCCTCCAAAAAGCATTTCTTTGTTTAGTACATAACACACACAAAGGAGATAGCATTGAGAGCAAGAACTGTTCTTGAAGTCAGATGAGCAGGAAACCCTTTGGAGTTCCACACGTATAGCCTGTCCTTCTGCATCCTGGCATACATACTTGTTCCTGCTTTCCTGCCTGAATTCTGGAGCTTGTGATCAGACCCTCTTCTAACAGTTACTTTGCATCGCATAGCTGTGGGGAATTTATGGGCACATCTCAACCTCTAAAATGTCAGCTCTTTCATCAGCAAAACTTTAAACAAATCTCACACATCTTTTCTAAATTAGAAATGTAACCTTGACCGCAGTCCCAGAGTTACTATTGTGCACAGAAAGAAAACACTGCGTAATGTTGAAATAATGTGCAAACTGAAATGATAGAAATGAAAAATGCTTTAATGTTTCTGAATAGGCTTTGTTTTCACAAATGCATCAGTTATAATTAGGTTCACTCACAAATAACAGCAACAGCGAAAGAAAGGGGCCCAAAGCAAATGCAAGTTTATTTCTCTGTCACATGAAAGAAATCCAGTCGACGGGAATGGCAGCTCCTCAATCATCAGGGGCTCTATGCTACCTAGTAGTCCAAGATGGTTACCCAAGCCCCTGCCATCACATCTGTATCCCAGCCAACAGGAAGAAGGAAGAAAGGCACACACCCTTTTTAGGAGCCTTCCTGGAAGTTACACCCTACATTTCTGTTAATTAATTACCTTAGTCACGCTTAACTACAGCTAAGCCATACTTAGCTACAAGAGAAGCTAAGACATTTTCTGATTCTACATGGTCTCCTTCAAATAGAAAGGTGGGTTGATAACCCACGGTCAGCATGACATAGCTCCAGAGGTTTTCCAAACATATATAGTTGAGTTAATGCCACATCACCCATGTCACCATCTCCTTTTTGACAGCACCTGCCAGGTGGCCAGGCTGGATGGAGGAGAGGCAGACTTTTGGCTTCTCTACATAACCATGCTTAGGATTATTTTTAAGTCAGCCAAACCGACCAGCTCACTTTCATTCTTAAGTACATCACAGATCATTTTTGAAGAAGAGTTTAGAACATGGCCAAAAGTAAGACCGGTTTTATAAATCATGACTCCTTATAATGGAATATTATATAATAAAATATTATCTGGCAGATGTTAATATCTGCCATAATGAAGCCTTGTATAAACGCTTACCTTTACCAGTATAATAATAATATTTCTATACACTTAGCATTTCCCTGTATAATACAAATAATCCTATTTTAATCAGCAGCTTTACCCAAGTCAGACTCACTTGTAGAGGAAAGGCCAAGCTAGGGACATACCAAAGAGAAGTAGAGGAGAAAGAAGTGGCAAATTGAGGGTTCACTCTTCGTTTATACAAAATGAGAAGTAAGGCAAACTGTGGTTTCAGCACCTTTGGGGCTTAGGGATAGGGTAGAGGTCAGGAGGTGGGAACATTAGAATTATTCCTCATTATTTGTTACCTTTTACCTAGAAAATATGCTACCAGACATCTCAAGGGTATCTTTCCTCTGTCAACAGTAGAGTGATAGCCAGGAACATAGATTCTAGTGAAAATAGTTAAAAGTGCCTGATTTGTTTTTTTTCTTCACATCAAATTTTCCAATAATGTATCACTAATAATATATCCATTTTTTTTTAAAGATTTTATTTATTTATTAGAGAGAGAGAGTGAGAGAGAGAAAGAGCACAAGAGGGGGGAGCGGCAGAGGGAGAAGCACACTCCCTGCTGAGCAGGGAGCCCGATGCGGGACTCGATCCCAGGACTCCAGGATCATGACCTGAGCCGAAGGCAGTCGCTTAACCAACTGAGCCACCCAGGCGCCCAATATATCCATTTTTTAAACAGAAAAAGCCTATACTGAAAATAAGCCAAAGAAAAAATTTGTGCATGCCTCCTTTTCAAGGTTGTTTTCTTAACTTGGAGCTTTTTACAAATGTAAACATGAATTACTGGTCTTTTCAGCGTGTTCTCATTTTATTGTCTTAAAATTGGATCCTTTCAAGGTCCAGTCCTGTTGGACAGGCATGGGGTAGGGGGGGCTAGTCTTACGCTCCTGTCTGTGTCACAACTACCACAGGAAACGTAGAAAGCAGGACCATGCGGACCATTCCTGCCTCCACGCCCAGCAGTAGAGCCTCAGGATCAGTGAGAGGAACATTGCACCTGCCATCCTAAATATAAAGATCATTGTTGATAACACTGAGCTTGCGGTCATTGTTCCTTGTGAGCTCCCTGTGCTGACTGCACGAATGCTGAGCAGAATGGAGCCAGGCTTGAATAATCATGACATTGATCTTTCAGGAAACGAGTAGGACTAGACATGAATGTAAAAACAGCAGGTCTAGCCTCCTCCCTTCTTAGATAAGAAACCTGCAAAGTAGAGTCTGGGCCAGTGACCCTTGGATGTTTTGACCAAAATTGAGAGCCTCAAGTACATTTTTTATCACACATGCATGTGCGCACACATGTGTGCATGTACAAAAAAACTGAATCACGCCTTCTGAAACAATACTACTTACTCTTGTGTGATGTATCTTAATAATTCCTATACTGTTTCTTTTTCTCTTTTTAATTCTGGGTGCAACCCCATACGTTAATTTTGTGACCCACTAATGGGTCTCTGCCTTCAGTTTGGATAATCCCAGCTCTGCCTGTTTGTTGAATACATTGTCATCTTCCAGCTTTCAAGTTTAAAATGTTTTCTTCTGTCTGTCTTAGTTTCCTCTATTAGAAGTTGCCCTGCTAGGAATGTTGATGTATTTCATTTGTTCTCAAGCTCCATGATCATAGTTTCACTTGCTGGGTTTCTTGTACTTGCAGAAAAAGCTATTACAGGTTTTTTTATGTTCCCCCCCCGCCCCGGGAAGCTTTCAGATAAAATATATTTCTCTTTTGACCTCTTTACTTTTTTCCTCCTTGTGTTTGTTTTCATAAAATGCTCCATGAAAATTGTCCTATTTCATCTTTTGATTATTGTAGGGTGAGACAGGTTAGAAGCAAATCCTTTCCGAATTGGCCTCTCTTTTGAGTTATTTTCCTTGTGTCCAGTTCTTGGGAGCAGCAAGAGAACAGCTCTGCCCCCATGCAGTCATCCGAAATTCCAGGCCTCTAGCCAGAACTCTGGGACGCCATTGTTTGCTAAAAACAGAAGGGTTAAAACCCTGGTCATGGCGATGACATTGTACAAATGCTCATGATTGCAACAAGAAGACGGGAACTATTTGGATAATGGATTCATGAATTTAATTCAGTTGGATTTTTATAAGGGAGGTAAAAATAACATGTATAATTTAATTTTCATCTTCAACATTTTTTTCCAAAATTAAATTTCACTTTGGTCAAAATTATTTTATAAAATAGGATGATTAATGACGGTTTCAAATAATGGGAACCAGCATCTGTAACTAATTAATTCCAGAGGAAGGAAATTCTGGGTCCTGACACCAAAGCGCATCTTAGTGGCATTACTGGTATTTCCAGCGTTTTTTTTTTTTTGTCATTACTGAAAACTTATGGTTCAAGTTGATCTATGTCCTTTTTATACTTTGCTTATCTTTTTCTTTCCTTTCCCCAGATACATCCTCTATAACTTTCTCATGCATTCTATACTACTACCAAAATTCTCTAATATATGTATATAAGCATTGCCATCACCAAAAGGGTAAGTGGAAAGGCTCAGGCTAGTATGAATACTGTTTAATTACTGATTTCTTTATGTGGGTCTCCTAATATGTGCCTGGTTGGTTCTACATATTCTTAGGGAAATTTCACCTTAAGACATTGAATAAGGGCGCCTGGGTGGCTCAGTCGTTAAGTGTCTGCCTTTGGCTCAGGTCATGATCCCAGGGTCCTGGGATCGAGTCCCACATCGGGCTCTCTGCTCAGCGGGAAGCCTGCTTCTCCCTCTCCCACTCCCCCTGCTTGTGTTCCTGCTCTCGCTATGTCTCTCTCTGTCAAATAAATAAATAAATAATCTTTAAAAAAAAAGAGAAAAAAAAAAAGACATTGAATAAAAGCAAAGAAGAACACAGATTAAATAGACAAATCCAAAAGAGGAGAAGGGATTTGATTTTTTATAAAATTTCATAGACTTAAGATGATTTGGATCCTCAAAATTAATATGTGACTTTGAATGGAGTCTTCCCTGAGTTTATCTGCAAACAGCTGCAGCTGGATAGACATGTTTACATAGGGCAGAAAGAGTCGGTTTGAAGAGTCTAGTTTCCACTTGCTTTAGCACTATTCAGGAATTACAGCCCATGATGCTTCAGAAGGAAGTCTAGTCCAGCATATTCCTTGCTTCCTCCTGTACAAAGGTTTTATTTTTATTTCTGATTTGTTGGGAGAAAATAAGTGCTGACTACATGGAGGCTACAGTTTCATTCCTCCCTCTGTTGAGAAGAAATTCTTCCGAGGATCCAGTTAGCAGAGTCGGCCCTGTGCAGACATATTTCTTACCTCAACCCCTTTTGAGCCAAGTGGATTTGCAAGGACTAGTTCTTCCGTGAGCCCTCTCACAGTCCATAAACTCAAGTTCATGTCCAAAAGGAATGGGGTACTCAGTATGTCATCTATTTGATACCTATGTTTTTGCATGTATCATAAAGAAAAAAAACTATTGCCGTGATAAATTGGCTATGAAATCTGAAAGTTTTGATATTCTGAGGACACATGGAATCAAGGGCTCCTTAGTTACCCAGCAGGTGGAAATTCCACTAGTAATTCTCAGGACAGCATCAGGCATATCAAGTAGCCAGAAACTCAGGGAAAAATGGTCTTGGTGCCTCAGTTTAACTTTGTCTCAGAGCCAAGGAGGGGTTTCCCCAAGGTAAAAACAAACATGAGAATTTAGATCTAAAGCAGTTGTTGCCTTTTCTCCCACTGCGTACGTGGTGATAACGGGAACGTGCAAGAGAATGGGCATTGTTCGTTTCCGCAACCAGTCATGGGAAGGCAGATGCCTGGCTGGAGGAGGCTGGGAAGTCAAGTTTTGGGGGCTGACTCTCCCAGTGGAAGGGGGCCATTGGTTCTCGGGAGGCCAGGTGGCCGAGTGAGTGTTCTCTGCTGTGGCCCACTGCTGCGTTGGGTACCAAGCCCAATGGAACTGGTCTGGGGAGCTTCGTCTCTGGGAGCTCTTTCCTTGTTCTCTCGTAAACTCCCCGCTGCTGCCCAGGACTTGGCCCTGTTGGCACACAGACCAAAAAGTAAGAGAGGATTGTGATTCACAATCCCTAGATTATTTGCTCCAAAAGAGAAAACAAATTTATGGATTCCGTTTAAAAAAGAAAGAAAGGCGTATCATAATGAACAAGACTCCAGGTTACATGCTTTCTGTTACCACAGCAGACCCATATTGCAATGAGAAAACAAGTCACCAATCAGAGTTCAGGAAAAGAATTCAGAGCTACGTTTCCTGTACCAAAATATTGAAGTACATGGTATCAAGATTTTTGCTGGAAGCACCACCTACCAAGCAGTTCAGCTGGAGAAATGTGGCGTGATTAATTGGCTCGTGGACAGGACGGCAGGGCCCGGACACTGGCATAGACCGCAGTCAGATGGGCCTTGGTTTCAGCCTGAGCTCCATCCGTCAGGGCAGTGTGAGCTTGGGAAGAATGGTTTATCCTTAGCCTTACAAGCCGTATGTGACAGGTCAAGGTCCCTCGCAGGTACTGAAGGGTGAAACGAGACCGACGCCGTCTAGTATGTTGCCTGACACACAGGCAGTGCTTAGTGAATGTTAGTCTCTGTGCTCTCCCTGTGCCCAGTCTCTAATTAGAATAGCTTTCCCCATCGTATATGTTTCTTCTTGGCAGGAAGACCGACCACTGCTCCCACCTGTGTTGTTCCATATTGATTTTGTTCTGTCCATCCTTCCTTTCTTTCTCGGTGAGGGGAGTGCAGCATCCCCCAGTGAGGCGCTCGCTACTTTTCATCTCCAGGAACTGCCGTGGTGTAGTGAGCATGCAGAGATTATACTGCCATTATCCTATTTCAGGAACTTCTGGTATATACAGGTATCGTTAGCATAACAATTTTATATAATTTTTTTTATTCCGGCGTCTAATGGATTTGTAACATTCTCAGGAAGAGTATCTAGAAAGTATAAGACTCCTTCGTCATGCTTGAACCACAGCAATAACAACCTCTGTTGTTATTTTGGTAGATAATTCTAGTTTGGGGGTTTTTTTAGAAGGGGGTTGGTGAGAATGCTGTGCATTGTAGGATATCTGGCAGCATCCCTGGCCTCTACTTCCTAGATGCCAATTACGACAACCAAAAATGACTGCAGACATTACCAAATGTCTCGTGGAGGGGGAGGGGGAGGAGGTGGGCAGAATCAGCCCCATTAGAGAACTACTGATCTATCCTTAAGGTTTGTGATTCCATAGTAATGGGTTCAGTAAATGTACCAAAGCATGAACCATTCAGAAGTCAGTGTGCTACCCCTGAAGCTAATAATGCAGCGTATGTTCACTAAATTGAGTTTAAATTTAAATTTTTTTTTTAAAAAGAAGTAAATGTGAAACAGACTTGAATTCAAATTTGCTATGTAGTGGCAAATAAATAAAAATTTTGAAATACCAGAGGGAATTCAAGCAAGAAAAAGTACAATGGGGAAAAGTCAGAAAGATGTTCCTTTTTTTAATGAGGTGATTCGTATTTCTGATCTTGGTCATGTTAAAAATGTACTCTGTTTCCTCCCTAAATGAAGACATGAGTACATACATGAGTGCTTAAGGGCCAGGCAATATAATAGAGGTTCAGTAATTGTTAGATGAGAAAAAATGGAGGTTTTTCCTTAATGCTGAGATGCATGTGTTTAATTAAAAGTGCAGAAAGCGTGTAGTGCAGAAGAGAGCTCTGAGCTGAGCATCCGAGGGACCCGGGACACCATCTCAGGAAGGTAACTGGCCAGGCACTTGGGAGCCCCGAGGAAGTTCGTTCCTCAGAACTCTAGAATTTTGTGAACCCCTAATTTTTAGGTCCCCCCTATGAGGTAGTGATGTAAATGCTTTTTTTTTTTTTTTGTAAGTTAGCTGATTGGTACTTGCTTATCTGAGTCCTCATTGTGATGAAAATCTTCAATGCATTGTGTACTGCACATTGGACACATGATAGGATAATTTGACGTAGAAAAATCATCCCTCTGCCTCATCGAAGAATTTCATGGACACGGTATGTGCCTGCCAGTCGTGTTTTATTGCCGTTTCTGTTCAGTTTGTCCGGTGTGACTTAGGGCGCCCTCGCAGAGCCTCACGGAAAGCAGGAGCCTGGTTGTGCAGGATCGGTTGTCACTTTCCACCTGAACCTTGAGCTCTGTTTCCTGCGAAAGTGCTAACAGTTTTTGTCCAAACAGCTAGTCCCTTCCCAGCGCAGACCCACCGACACTTCCTTTCTGAACAGATTATGGGTTATAAAGTTTGATTCAAGCCTTGCTACCAAATCATGACCTAGCAGCTTCTGTGCTTACACAGAAGAGTATCAGTCAGTTTCCTGTTTTCCGTCATGTTGTAAGGTGAATAGCTGTGACCTCCGCGCCCCCCCCCAAAAGAGATTGCCAAGACAAATAATTGTTGTGGCACACGCAAACATTTCCCTGCGAGCCTTTTTAAATATGCAGCTTTCAGAGAAGCATATTACATGCTTTTCAAGAATGCAAAGTCATAGTAAGTACCCCTGCTTCATGACTCAAGAACAGCTAGCTGTCTATTAAAGTCAACATTAAGTAACTCTTTAGCAGGTACGTCTTTTAAAATTTATCAATAGCAGCAAATAGGGTAAGTGACTAAATTGCTTATTTCAGATCACTAGGAAAACTTAACTTACAGGTTGCTCTGTTGACCATTCTCAGGAAGCGTCTGGGAACTGGAACCTGCCGGTGGGAGTGGCTTGTCCCCTGCTCACGTCAATACACAGATACACAGCAGTGCGCGCTGTCCATTTCCAAGCTGATACGTGTGGATGTCGCCTTAGGAAGTGGTGCTTCCTTGTGTGACTAGCGACTCTGCTCCAGCACACCTTTTCCACACTGTCTTCCTTAGCAGCCAGCTATTCAAAAACAAGTAACCTAGAAAATGATTCCATGCCATATTTCAGAGCCGTCTGCAAAGTGTGAGAATCTGGCACTTTCTTCTGTTTTCTACACATTATTTGCCTCCATATTTCCTTTGCATTGGGAAGCCACAGCCCCTGGACCTTTATTACTGTATCCTGTTTCCTTCCCCAACTGCAGTTCTCTTTGTTGCTGCTTTTTTTTTTTTTTTTCAGTTTGTCTCTTAAAATACGAAATTAAGCTTAGCTGGCCCACGTAGACATCTGCATGGTCATACCTTTATCAGATATGACATTTACACCTTTTATTAAGCCTATTTTGCTCCTGTAAGGGAAAAAGGAAGCATGATAGGGAGATATAAGAACATTGTTAATTATTTAATTTTATTTTTTGTATCTTCCTGTCTCCACTGAACGATGGCCCTGACTCAATCACCACTGGCTCTGAATCCCACCCCGCTAGTTTCTTCACATCTCTGATAACTCGTTCATTTGTGTGCGCCAGGTACCGTGACAGGTAGCAGACCTACAGAGATGAGGAGGACATGGTCCCTGTCCTCTGAGTGGGAGATGCCACCTAAGTCTAATTGGGATGCCGCATGCAGAGATAGGTATGGGCCCGGTGAAGGAGCAAACCAGAGGGCCGGGAGGGGCAGGAGGGCTGACCATCTCCCCTGAGAGGATTGGGGCAAACTTCTGGAGCATCTGGGCCGAGGCTTGGACAATGAGTTAAAGAAGAGAGGTGGGAGAGAGGAACATTCCAGTTGTTCCCATCTGGAGGAGGGTCAGAGGTGACAAACATAGTATGTGTGGGCTCTGCAGGAAGCTTGATATTAGTAAAGCACAAGATTTCAGGCAGAGTGAACATGGACATAGGCGCGTGCTTGAGGTTACATCGGGGTGGCCTTAGTTTTTATGATAAGGAACTTGAATGTTTTCCTTGAGGCAGTAGTGAGCAGATGAAGGTAGGAGAGCATGGCGACTACATGGCGAAGTTGAAGGAAGAGAAGAGATGGTTTTTGAAGTGAATTTGAGCTTGCAGCTTTTCAGGGGAATGAAAGGATTATAAATGAACTGTGCTATTAATACATTTGTGACCAAGTGTTAGAAAACTGCTATTCTCCTGCTCCCTTTTTGTTTGTTTTAGAGATACACACATTCATCCAGTGCCCACTGTATGCCTTGCAGTGTCAGTCTCTCAAACAGACATGACCCCTTTCCTCTTGGAGCTTAGTCTAATAGGGGAGCATCAAGTGGAAAAGGCATCCAACTGGAAAGGCCTTGGCCAAATGCTGCACACATTCGTCTACTTCCAACTACAGGGCAACACAGAGCAGTTTTTCCAATATAACAACATTGGGAAAAAAACACACACGCCACTCTGTTACTTGTATCCCTACTCCTCAGAGCTGATCAGACCAGAGAACAGGTCATGTTGGCTGAAGTAACGGACTTCTCCGGTCATCATGGATCATTTCTCTTCATCTTCCCAAGCTGATTTCTGCTCTTGCTCTCTCCTTTACCTGTGAATCCCTACACTCCTCCCTAACCTCCCTCCACCCCCAACTCCTTACTTCTCTGCCTGGAGAAATCCTATTGTCCCCCAGAGCCTGACTCCATCATCCCCATTCTCCAACCCTACCCTGCAACATCCCCATGCACCACGTCCCCCTTCTCTGCAGTCCAATAGCAGACAGTCTCTCCCCCTCACCTCCCTGAAATGCTTGATGTTAGGGACCCTAATCCTGGGCCATTACCCTGAGCAAAATGCCTGGACGTAGCAGGAATTAAACAAATGCTTAAGAATTGAGTATGATTTCTAGCAAGTGGGAGAATTGTTCTCTTGGTAATAATGATGCGGACCATTTCTGTAAGCTCCCACTGTGCACCATAAAGCAGTAACAGAGTACTTGACATGTGCTATCTCGCTTAATTCCCCCAACAAGTCAAATGAGGACATTGAGATTCTAATAGGTTAAGTAACTCACCAGCATTCGCTTGTTGGTTGTCACTGTTCAGTTGACAGCTCATATGCACAGCTGTCCGGACTGGACACGGTCTGTCTGATACTCACCAGGAGGATGGTCACCTTTCCCCTACTGGGAGCCCACTCTGTAAGGACCACTGACAAAACCAACTGAACATTCCTCTTCTGGGGGCCACTATACCACTACCATATGCTAAAATCACCACTGCTTTTCCCAGAGGGTACCACTGAGATAGGGATTGTTACTGTCCATGATCTCTCGTTTTGACCACCACTAATCAAATCACTAGAGTTGTCCCAAATAGTGGTAAAAAGGAATGTCTTTTGCTTCTTTAGCTCATTCTGCTATATTACTTATTCAAAGAAAATAAAGGACAAAGTGACTTTATAGCTAAATTCATTCCAAATTGAATATTTTTAAAGAAATACTTTTCAACTTGTCAAAAGCATATCAACAGTCATAAAAATTTTTTACATCCTCTGGCACCATGCTCTCACCCTTGGGAATTTATTCCAAGAATATAATTTGAAAGAGGTTAAATCTCATATGCACAGATATTTTGCAGCATTATTCATATTGGAAACAACCCAAATGTCTAATAACAGGGGGAACAATTTTGTAAATCTTGATACATCAACCTAACAGAATTATAAGCTGCCACTTAAGATCATAAACTTTGAAAGTTTGTAGTACAGGGAGAAAACTCTGAAAATTTTAAAGTAAAGGAGCAAACTACAAAATTCTACCTATTCTGTAAAAATTATACAGGCATATGAAGTACTTAAAGGAAACCATAAAGAATTAGAATGACGGGTTGATGTATTTAGAATTTGAAATTATATGTGACACTTCATGATTTTATTTTCTGAATTCTTGTTAAAATGTGTGCATTCAGTGACTGCTCAAAACAAATACCTTCGTTCATTCACATTTTAAATGTTTTGATTTTATCTTAGTAATTTTTTTACTGCCAATTCCTGTCTCTTCCATAAATTATGGCCTTGGTTGGACAGTCAATATATAGTGCATATTTCATAAATGTTTACTTCCTATTGCATTTAGATTATTTTTTTCCTAGAGTGTGCGTCTCAAATTTTAGTGGGCATTCATCTCACCTGGGGATCTCATTAAAATGCTTCTTCTGATTCGCTGGGTCTGAGGTACCTAAAATCTGTGTTTCTCATAAGCCCCCTGGTGGTGCTGGTGCTGGTGCTGCCCATCCCAGAGCTCTCCTCTGTGTGTGGAAATGATGCTGCTGACCACATGCCAGTCAATAGTCATATCTTGGAGGGCAATGTTAGGTATTCTCTCAGTTACCTCCACAGTAACATTTCTAGCAATTTGGGGGCAGAGGAGGGGATGGCTAAAGATGAATGTCGTCTGTGCTTACGGAAGAAAGATGCTATCTGATCAAGCCTGATGATTAATCTTCTTAAGCCACTCAACTAACTTTGAATTTTGTCAATCGACAGAAATGACCAGGTGGCATTAAATAAATGATTCTATGCATGCTGTAAAAAAGTAAGAAGGGTCTTCTATGGTAATCATGCTAGCAATGTCCTTTGATGCAGTCTGGAACCCAATTAAAAAGTTGACACCATCTGTGGTAAGAAATGCTTTGCTTTGGGTGTCCATACTGGAAGAAGAATCTTGGCCTTGGCAATGAATCCTTAAGGCATGGTGGTCTAAAGCAGAGTGGAGAGCCATCTTTTTAGAGAACGGAGAGAAGAGGAACATTTTCTATGACTGTGGGAAAATCGGTGTCCCGTTGCATAGGAACAAGATGCAATGCATAGGAACAAGGTGATGGGGAATTTCAGCTGTCCTTTGAACCCGAGTCATACCGACGATGGCCAAAACTTACTCTTGTTTTGAGAAGATGATAGCAAGTTTCCACCTTGATTCTCCACAGTAACTGAAGCTGGCTTTGGCGCTGATATTGGAATGGAGAAATTTTTCAACATCAAGTGCCGAGCATCTGGCTTGGTGCCCAACGCAGTCGTGCTGGTGGCCACGGTGCGTGCTCTGAAGATGCACGGAGGCGGGCCAAGCGTAAGTCTACTTCCTTCCCAGCAAAACACGTTTTATGTATTTATTTTTTTTAAGATTTTATTTATTCATTTGATAGAGAGATAGAAAGCACAAGTAGGCAGAGTGGCAGGCAGAGGCAGAGGGAGAAGCAGGCTATCCGCTGAGTGGGGAGCTAGACTCAGGGCTCGATCCCAGGACCCCAGGATCATGACCTGAGCCAAAGGCAGCTGCTTAACCGACTGAGCCACCCAGGCACCCTGCAAAACATGTTTTAAAATTAAGAGGAAGCAGAATTTCACATCTGAAACCTTCAAACCCGCTCCATAGCTGTGGTATTTTTATTTTATTTTATTTTATTTTTTTAAGATTTTATTTATTTATTTGAGAGAGAGAATGAGAGAGAGAGAGCATGAGAGGGGGGAGGGTCAGAGGGAGAAGCAGACTCCCTGCCGAGCAGGGAGCCCGATGCGGGACTCGATCCTGGGACTCCAGGATCAATAACCTGAGCCGAAGGCAGTCGCTTAACCAACTGAGCCACCCAGGCGCCCAGCTGCGGTATTTTTATACGTCTCCTTTTTCACATGTCACCATTTTGAGGCACTTACCATTTGGTAAATTCCAGTAAATGGTGACACTCACAAAGTCATTTCTAAGCAGTATTTTGGGAAGGAGCATAATGTGAGCACTTTTGAGTCCCAAGATTTATACCTGAACCTCAGGTCAACATTTTATAACCCTATGGTGATGGGAGGATGGAAGCTCTTGTTCCTGAGCAGAGAACATAAGGATTAGAGTGATTGCTTTTGTGGGTGAGGTTTTTAGTGTTTGTACAGATAGTTTCTTGGTTCACTGATGCAGTGTCTCATCAGATTTCATCTAGAACTATTTTCCTTCTGTTTCTGCTTATTCTGATTTCACTTTATAGCTCTGTTATAGCACTGAATTATTTCTAAAAGAGCTTTGCTTGGAAAAGATGCCCTATTTTAACATTTTTTACAGACTTTTGGTATTAACCTGTCATATATGTAATTCACATACATCTGAAAGAAAATTTTTTCCTCTTTCATTTTGAGGTTTCTTTCAAAGGGAGAATAAGAAATGTTATACTGAGTAACATACTTCATCTTTGAAATAAAATTAAGTTGGAGTGTCATTATCATTTATAATATTGTTATATTAGACAAACTACCAAATCTGATTGCTTAATTGGTAATACTGTGTATACAGAAATCACATAATCAATGATTATTACATAGCAAATAACATTTTTGCCATCATGAAATACATCTCTGATGGGCATTGTATAATCATGTTAGCAATTCTTTGTCCTAGGAGAGGCTGACATTATTTTATCCCATTTTATAGAGAAGGGATTTGAGGTTCAAACCAGTTTGGGGAATGTGAGCAGTGTGACCTGGCCTGCTGAGAGCCAGATCTGAAGTCTGAGGTTTAGATCCAAATTCCTTTCTCTGTCCACCAGGCAGAGCTGAGCATTAATGAAGGTTAAACATTTTCTGAATCCCAAGTCCACTAGTAAAACCAAACACTTCAGTAGTTCATTGTAGCCGAAAGCTTCATCATTAATTCAGGTATAAGACTGACACATGTATTATTAAGCAGTAGATCCTAAAGAATTCTGATTTTGTTCAAAACACCATTTGTTGCTACAATGACTCCTTAACTTTAGATTTTGAATCTGTATACCAATTTCCATTTCTCCCTCACTGTTTTGCACCCTGAACGTTATAAAATCAAAAGACTTTGATACTGGAAAGGGCTTAGAGATTGTCTGAGTCTGGCTCAGTCCTTGTAAAGATGAAATGACTAAGCTAACAGAAGGATTCAGTGATTTGCTTCCTATCATCCATCTTCTTAAGGGACTCTTGAGTTCTAGTCGAGTGTTTTTCCATAGTCTCCTTTCTGTCCCATAAAAATTCTCTGTGTGATTTATAATCCTATTTTAGTTCCTCTTAATGTATGTACTTGTTTTACAGTGGTTGCTTTTCCCTCTGACCTTACTCTTGTACGTCTTCCACTTCACATCATGGTTCCAGCCCCAGTGATTGTTAACAGGGCTCACGATTGGTAGGCACAGATCTGGGTGGAGAATGATAGAAGGAAAGGATCGGGAATCCTGGGAAAGCTTAGTATCCCTCTCCTGAGCTCCAGAAGAGCCTTCCACATCACATTGGTTTATGACTGTCTCTGTGTGTCTCCCTTCTCTACTCTGAATTCTTTGAGATCAGGGACTATGTCTTATTAATGTGCGTATCCCTAATAGAGCTATAAAGTCTGTATCCAGGAAGTGTTTTCAACAACTAAATGATAAATGAACTTTCATCTTCTTAATCCTATACTCTGTATTAGCAATCTCAGTGTCTTTCCTTCTTACTTGAAACAACTCTGTGGTAATGTTTTTGATCCATTATAATTTCTACTTCCTTTGGGTATCATTACACAAATAACCATGGCGGCCTCTTATGTTTATTCAGCTTGTTTTTTTTCCATAATCTGTGCAGTGGAAAATCCTGTCACCCTTGAACTTGCCCATTTTAGCCCCAATAATTCTAAATCATATCCTGTCTTCCAAAGTGCTGACCATTCATGCTGCAATGTAAGAACGAACATTGTTATACTTATGGATCTTGACATCCTTTACCATTAATTCTTTAAAATACATTGTATTAAGAACCAATATGCTGTGTATTTATGCAAAAAGAGATGTATTATAAGGAATTGGCTCACACATCTCTGGAGGCTATCAAGTCCAAAATCTACAGAGTCGGTCAGCAGGCTGGAGATTTAGGAGGGCTCATGTTCCAGTTCCAGTCCCACTGTGAAGGCAGTCCGCTGGAGAATTTTTCTTGCACAGAATCTTTTTGTTCTACTAGGGCCTTCAGCTGATTGGATACAGACCACCCACATGGTGTGCGTGGAGTAGGAGGCAGGGCACGGATCTGTTTTACTCAGAGTCCACGAGTTTAAATGTTATTCTCACCCCAAAGAGACCCCACAGAAACACTCAGAATAATGTTTGACCAACTATCTGCTACCCTGTGGCACAAACTGATACCTAAAATTAACCATCACACCCATTGCTACTGATTTTCTTGCATGGTGCAATCACCAGATCTTCTTTTCTTTCTTTCTTTTTTTTTTATATTAATAACCAATTGGTCTAGTACTATTTATTTAAATAGTCCCTCCTTCTGTCTTATCTTTAGGCCTACTTTGTGATACATGTGTAGGTCTTTTTCTGGAATCTCTCTTCGGTTCTGCTGGTCTATTTACATATAATTGTGTCTGTGCTGCCCTGATACCTTTATGGCAAACTCCACACCAGGGTGTTCTGTTTCTTCATGCGTGCCCGGCCTGGTATTGGTCCTTTTGACTTCCATATGTATTTTAGAATTAGCTCATAAAGTTCCATAAAGAATCTTTTCAGGATTTTTATTGGAAGGGCATTGTATCAATAGATCAATTTAGGGAAATTTGACAGGTTGCCGTCTAAGATGATGGGAATGCCTCTTCACTGATTTGGGTCTTTTTAAGTGTATTTTAATAACGATTTACAGTTTATTCCACAAACGGCTTCTTCATCTTTTTATGGATTTGCTACTGTGTACTTTACATTCTTGTATAGTTTAACAGGTTACTTCTGGATTCTTATATGTTACTTTTATGTCCACTGACTTTTTAAAGTATAAGGTCTAATGGACACAAAACTTTATATTAGTTTTAAGTGTGAAATAGAATGATTGGACATTTGTATACATTACAAAAGGATCACAAATCTAGTTAGCATCTGTCGCCATGCATAGTTAAAAATTTTTCTTGCAGTGAGGGCTTTTAAGATCTACTCTCGGGGTGCCTGAGTGGCTCATTGGTTAAGCATCTGCCATCAGCTCAGGTCATATCTCAGAGTCCTGGGATCAAGCCCCGCATCATCAGGTTCCCTGCTCAGCAGGGAGTCTGCTTCTCCCTCCTTCTGCCCCTCTCCCTGCTTGTGCACATGCGCACGCGCGCTCTCTCTCTCTCTATCTCAAATAAATAAATAAAATCTTTAAAAAAATCTACTCTCAGCAACTTTCAAGTATGCAATACAGTATTATTAACTACAGTCACAGGCTATACATTACATCCCTGTGACTTTAGAATTGTCTTAGTAATTGTACTAATTTATCTGTAGACATTTGAGAGTTCCATGTGGGCAGTCATGTCTGAAAATAATGACAGTTCTGTTTCTTCCTTTCTAATCTTTATACTTTTTTCTTGTCGCTAACTAGGTCTTTCTAGTTGGCAGTGCAGTTATTAGATAGGGGTGGTAATAGTAAGCCTCCTTTTATTATCCTGATCTGGAAGAGAATATGTTTAATACTTCTTCACTACATATGATTTTTCTGTAGGTTTGTAGTATATATTTTTTATCAAATTAAGGAAACTGGCTTCTATTCTTATTTTGCCAAGATTTTATTCTAAATAAATGTTGAATAACTTTCTTTGTCTATTGAGATATGTTTTTTCTCTTTAATCTATTAATATTACAAATTATATTACTTACTCAACTTTAATACTTCATCTTTAAACTGCCCTTGCCACCCCCTACATTGTTGTGAGAAATAGGCCCCAAAACGGGGAAAGTAATGGCAATTACCTTAACATTATTTAGAATTACTTTAACATTATTTAGAATTTATTGAGAATGATGGTACACCTTATATAAGTCAGGTTTCACTCAAATTATAAGTTCCATTTTATGCTAGGATAATGGGCACCAGTAAGAAAGTTCTCAATGTTGGTTCAAGTTAGAATCACCTATACTGATCCTGGGTCTCACTCCCAGAAATCCTGGTTAAATTGGTCTGGACATCAGTGGTTTTTTTTTTAAAGATTTTATTTATTTATTTGACAGAAAGATAGCAAGAGCAGGAACACAAGCAGGGGGAGTGGGAGAGGGAGAAGCAGGCTTCCTGCCGAGCAGAGGGAGCCCGATGCGGGACTCGATCCCAGGACCCTGGGATCATGACCTGAGCCAAAGGCAGACACTTAACGACTGAGCCACCCAGGCGCCCACATCAGTGTTTTTTAAAAGCTTCCAATAAGACTTATGTTCAGCTAGGGCTGCCAGTTGTTGGTTTAAAAGTACATTTTGTGCTTTTAAATGCACCTTTTCAAAAAGTGACCATGATTTGTTTTTCCTTTAGATCTTTATCAGAGTAAGCTTTTTTTTTTTTTTTTTAACAGCAACAACAACAAAAAAGGACAGGATAAAGTGGTCAAGATTCCCAGTAACAATAAATAAATCTTCCTCCCTTCAGTGTTTAGTACGATGCCAATTAACCACCATTTATTTTTTTAAAGAGAAGAAAACCAAGCCCCCAGAATGGCAAACACATTGGCAAGTTGCTGATTTCCAAGCGAGTTACCCTTGTCAAATCCACTCAAATCTTTTCAATAGATTTGGGCTTTTCAACACGCCCAGCCTGCTGGGTACGGTTAAGTAAAAGGCATTTGCTCTAAGAGTTCCCTGCTACCGTTCTGTACCCTTGTGGATGTATTTGGCTTCCATGGAAGTGGGTACAGGAGATGAAGTGGGGGTTGTGCATCTGCTGGGTGGTGGCGTGCACAGGATTGGAGGTGGGTGCAGATGTGCAGGCAAAAGGTAGGGTGGGAGAAAGGAAGTCCTTCAGCCCCTACAGAAACAAACACTGCAGTCCAGTAGGGCTCATTCGGATGCATTTTCCATGAAGCTGCTAGAAATTCAACCTACCTGGCTACTCTTAAATACAACAAGTATCAGAATAAGCATTCTAATGGGTTTTTTCTTCATTTCTGCCTTTTCTTGTCTCAGGTAACTGCTGGTGTCCCGCTAAAGAAAGAATATACAGAGGAGGTAAGAGCAGGTGTCTTGAAGGCTTATGTGCAGAACCATTTAAATCCAGTTAACCATTGTCTAGCAACTGAATCTCAATCAGTCAATGAGTCCTCCACCAGTGGCCTCTTGGGAAACTGCTTTTCTCATGATCCCGGAGGAAATGGGTGGGGGCGAGGGATCAAGTCCATTCATTTAATTCTTCATTCTTAAGAAATGATGGATGTAGGAGTCACATATGTACTGTTTCCTACCCTCTGAGCAGCCGTCAGACAGGAGCCCAGTCTCCAGCACAGAAACAAATAGGAAGCTTACACCCGTGTATTCTTCTGCTAAGGAAAAAACTGACTTTTGGAGCATATACATTTGGCTTTAATCACTCACTTGAGCTGCTTGACTCTTGGGTAAATAGACTTTGATTTACTGGCAACAGAACCTCTTAGCTCCTACAGATGGCACCCGGGATTTGAGCCGGGAATGGCCAGGCCACGCTCCCCACCCTCCCCGGGGCCTTGTACCAACCTACAAGAGAACGAGCACATTGCTTGTGCCTTGGCCACCAGTCAGCAGCAGAAATAGCCGCCTGGCTCAAGACCTCGATACACCATTGGACCCAGACTGATTTCAGAAATTATTTTGAAAATGAGCCTCCTCCTTCTGTAAGCCACCTTTTCTTGGAGGAAAAAGTGTTTTATGGGCTTGTTTAATAGCTTCTAGGACAGTAAAGGGAGCAAGATGGAAGCAAAACCCGCCAGAGTGGACTGGCCAGTTAAGTTTGGCAGCATTGGTGGGAGGCGTACATGGGGGTCTGGTTTTCTTCCAGAACATCCAGCTGGTGGCAGACGGCTGCTGTAACCTTCAGAAGCAGATTCAGATTGCTCAGCTCTTTGGGGTTCCCGTTATTGTGGCTCTGAATGTCTTCAAGTAAGTGAAGCCCCCCCACTTAAAATATGTTCCTCTTGCTGGGCCACCGTGTGAACTCTGTGTCTCGAGGGTGTTTGGTCTTTCCCGGCTTCATCTAAAACTATATAGAAATATTCTGCTCCTTCTGTTTGTTTGTTTGGTTTGGGTTGGGTTGGTTTCATTTTAACAGAAGTTTCCCAAATGTTTATGGGAAATGAAATCTATATAGTGAGTTAACATTTCCTTGGCTTTTATTTATTTATTTTTTTTAAATTCCACCCGGCATTTCTGTCTGAAAGACTATGGATGATCAAAGGGTTAGGTTATGGGATTTTCTCAATAAAACCCTTAACAACTTGAAATATTTGAGTCCTGTTGGAGAGGTTTTTTTTTTCCCGCCAATGCTTTTCTTTAAGTCTGATTTATCTAAACACAATGTAACCACTTCTGATGTTGAGAATATATTCAGTGTTAGGGAGCAAAGTTCTGTATGAACGGTTAGTCTTTCTTTAAAAACATCACTAAATGAATACAGATGCAAAACCACAAATGTTTTCATCACTAGGACTGACACCCGTGCTGAGATTGACTTAGTTTGTGAGCTCGCGAAGCGGGCTGGCGCCTTTGATGCGGTCCCCTGCTATCACTGGTCCGTCGGTGGGAAAGGGACGGTGCAGCTGGCTCGGGCTGTGAGAGATGCTGCCAATAAGGGAAGCCGTTTCCGGTTCCTGTATGATGTTCAGGTAAGCTCCACCTCCCCTGTGCATCGGTCCAGTGGCGGGGTGGCGGTGGGGGAGGGGGGTGAGGCACACAGCTTGTCCCGTCCAGATATGGAAAGTGCAGGGGAAAGAGGTTGAACCACCTGACCAAGGCCCATGGCCATGGGCAGAAGCTATCCTTGCCCCAGGGCCTGTGCTCCCAAAGCTACCCTCTACTTCCCAGGAGCAGGCCTGAGTGAGGAGGGGCTTTGGGGAACAGGATTCTACAGCTGACACATTCAGGGCTTGCTCTTTTGAGCAACTTATGTTTTTTTCCTTTTTTTTTTTTTTTTTAAAGATTTTTATTTATTTGACAGAGAGACGCACAACAAGAGAGGGAACATAAGCAGGGGTAGTGGGAGAGGGAGAAGCAGGCTTCCCGACAAGCAGGGAGCCCGATGCGGGGCTCGATCCCAGGACCCTGGGACCATGACCTGAGCCGAAGGCAGACGCTTAACGACTGAGCCACCCAGGCGCCCCATCTTTTGAGCAACTTCTTAAGGCTTGTGAAACCATGAGCAGTATCTTCCTCGTCTGTTTCTGCCATAGTTCTCATCCTTCATTGTGGTTTTCTGGAGCTATATGTATGATATTTGTGAAATATGTTTAATTGTATAATCCACATAACCTGACACTTACCATCTCTACCATGTTGGGGTGTACAGTTCAAAAGTGTTAAGGACAGGGCGCCTGGGTGGCTCAGTTGGTTAAGCGACTGCCTTCGGCTCAGGTCATGATCCTGGAGTCCCGGGATCGAGTCCCGCATCGGGCTCCCTGCTCGGCAGGGAGCCTGCTTCTCCCTCTGACCCTCCCCCCTCTCATGTGCTCTCTGTCTCTCTCATTCTCTCTGTCTCAAATAAATAAATAAATAAATAAATATCTTAAAAAAAAAAAGTGTTAAGGACATTCACATTGTGGTGCAAGCACCACCCATCTCCAGAGTTCTTTCTGTCTTCCAAAACCTAAACTCTGCACCCATTAAACCCCAGCTCCCCATTCCCACCCCCACCCCCAGCCCCACCCCTGGTAGCCACCCTTCCCCCTTCTGTCTCTACGAATCTGATTGGTCTGTATATCTCATATAAGTGAAACCATCCAGTTCTGGTCTCTTTCATGATGGGCTTATTCTCCATCTCAGCCCTTTCAGGCTGCTGGAAGGAACAGCACAGACTGGGTCGCTAATGAACAACAAAGTTCAGTTTTGGAGGCTGGGGCATCCAAGATCAGGGCTCGGGCAGGCGTCTGGTGGGGCTGGCTTCCTTTGTCATGCACGGCTGTGTTCTCATTGTATCCTCAGGTGGAAGAGAACTGGGGTCTCACTAGGGTCTGTTTTAGGAGGGCACTGATCCCATTCCTGAGGCTTCCCGTCTCCTGACCTAATCACCCTGAAAGCCCCGCCTCCTCCTAATTCCATCAACCTAGTTGTCCCCAAAGTCCCCATGTCCCCTAACACTGATCACATTGATGATTAGTCTTTAACATATGAATGGCAAGGAGAGGGTACAAACACTCGGTCTGTATCATTTACTTAGAGTAATGTCAGGGTTCATCCATGTTCTTGCATATGTCAGAATTTTCTTCCTTCCACTGTATGTATATGTCACATTTTGTTGATTCATTCATCTGTCAGTGACCATTTTGGCTAATTACACTTCCTGACTCACATAAACAATGCTGCTATGAACATGTGTATAAAAATATCTCTTTAAGACTCTGCTTTCAATTCTTTGGGGTATACACCCAGAAGTAGAGTTGCTGGGTTGTCTAATGCATTTCTTTTTTTTTTTTTTTTTTAAGATTTTTTATTTATTTATTTGACAGAGAGAGGGAACACAAGCAGGGAGAGTGGGAGAGGGAGAAGCAGGCTTCCCGCCGAGCGGGGAGCCCAATGTGGGGCTCGATCCCAGGACCCTGAGATCATGACCTGAGCCGAAGGCAGACGCCCAACGACTGAGCCACCCAGGCGCCCCTGTCTAATGCATCTCTAAACAGCTGGATAATGAGCCTTCAGTCAGAAAACCTGAACTTCCCAGGACCTCACTCAGTTCATCTTGACACCCAGCTGCACATCTCTATTTTGAATTCTGCGGCTTCAGCCCTGGCTACTGGATTTGTCCCCATTGATAGCCCATGATTGTCAGGGTGCTCAGCCTTTAAGCTGGTTGCTTCTTCTCCCATTCCTTCATCCCTCGCACATTCTGTGGGTCTCTCAAATGTCACAGACAGTAACATCGCTCCTCCTTCCAGATCAGATGCATAAACCAACAGTATACGTGGAGAGAGGACATAGCAGAGTCACATCATCCAAGAGCTTGACGTTAATCTTACTGCTAAGCCTCATGCTTACCTAGGGCTTTCTGTGTGCCAGGCATGCAGTCACCTCGTGCCTGTTAACTGCTTTAGTCTCGGCATCCCTGTTAGGTAGGAACTGATGGTATTCGCCCCATTTTATACACATGGAAACTAAAGTACGAGGACATTACATAGCTTCCCAGTGTCCCATATCCTGAAAGAAGCAGAGCTGGGAGAGTATCTGGAATGATGGAGGTGATCTTCCTGCTCTGTTCTTCAGAATTCAGTACTGTGTTCGAAAGTGGGGATGAGGGTGGGGAACTACTCCTTAAAGGGGGGACCCACCTACAGAGGAAGGACGGCGGTGACAGGCACAGGATGGACGTTGTGGGCCCTCCGTAAATGTGTGTGAACGGATGAATTTCAGGACCGAATTGGGATAGTTAGGCCACAAAAGGTTTGTCATGTTGAAAGGCCATGTCATGAACAAGAGACGAGCATGTTCTGGGATACAGAGTGGGTGGAGATCAGTAAAGGGAGGAGACCCAGGTTCGACATAAAGAAAAATGGTCTAGTTAGAAGAGGTGAGTTCTCTGACCCTGGAGATCTGAAACAGAAGGTAGATGCGGCCCTGTGTTCCTTGCCACACCTTCCTGCCCCGGGCGAGCCTGCCCGACTGTCTGCAGCGCCTGTCCCCGCCCTGGGCCCTCTCACACAGACCACTGTCAGGGGCCTCACTCTCCCTGGCCTGCTCCAGGAGCCTCAGACCACTGCCATCTGATCTGGAACCACCCCACTCTGAGTGGCAAAGGCAGGTTCTGAATGACTGATTTCACAAAGTAGGGCTGTTTTCAAGGAAACCTTCCCAAGTAAAAAGAAGGTGGGTAAAAGAGAAGAAATGTTCCTGAGTTAACGCTGTCTCACACATGCACTACCCTAACGATGAACCCCTTTCCTTTCCGATATTTTATTTTTCTTTCTGAATTCCCATTCTTCATGGAGATAATGCTGTTAAAATGTCTGCTTCCCTATAAATAGGGGGGAGATTTATAGTACTGTGGACTAAAGTCCTGCGTTTCCTAGGATTCTTGCCTCCTTTGCCAGCATACTCTTCTCCCTTTTCTTATAACACAGAAATTAGATGTGGATTGCATAATTATTTATTAGAGAACCAACAACATCTCAGCGTATCGCCGCACAACGAGAAGAGCAGTTGCTGCTTCTGGCTCACTGCGTGCTGCCTCCCTCATCGCTGTGTTCCTCACTTTGGCAGGATGATTCTAGATAATAGAAGACCATTTACAGTCTTCTCTAGAAATCTGTATCCCTTGGTGCAGTCTGTAACACAGCTCAAACGTTTCTTCCCTCCTCGTTTCTTGTATATCATGTTGGTGAACCTTTACAGGCTAATTCAGGGTTTTCCTGAAACTCCATTCCCCCACAACTAACCCTTTAGCGCTTGGCAGGTTGATATGTGTGGGATTACCCTACAGGAAAAAAAGAAGTAATAAAGTACTTTGGATAAGTCACCCTGCTGCCTTTGCTTCTGAGCGCAGACTGAGCTCCTGTGTGCCTTTTGCTATCTCCCCAGACTGTGTTCCACCAGGAATGCATCCCGTGCAGGGTTGATGGCGTCTCATTTCTGCCCCAGTTCTGCATTACAGAAGGAAGTCACCTGAGACCATTCAGAAGCATTTGACATAGTATAGGAGGGCAGGACATGATTGCTTTTGTATGGGAAGGAGGAATCATCTCAAAACCCTATTGGAAGGAGGAACAGCTAGGGAGCATAAGAAACACTTGACCTCAGAAACACTGTGGGGCCGGACAGCTCCCAGAGCGAGAGGCTTGACGATGGTGAGCCTGGAGTTAAAGCAGGAAACAGGCTGCACTTCTGACTTGGGGGTCTGTGCTGAACTTGATAGAAAATTGAGTTAAGCAGCCACTGTTCTTCAGAGAACAATTCTGCACCTCTTTTATCAGAGTAGCTTCTTTTTTTAAAAGATGTTCTTCTTAGGGTTAGTGGCTCAGTCAGTTAAGCGTCTGCCTTCAGCTCAGGTCATGATCTCGGGGTCCTGGGATTGAGTCCTGCATGGGGCTCCCTGCTCAGTGGGGAGTCTGCTTCTCCCTCTCTCTCTACTCCTCCCCCCACCCCCACTCATGTTCTCTGTTGCTCTCTCTCTCAAATAAATAAGTAAAATATTTTTTTAAATAAATAAAATAAAAGATTTTGTTTTTAGATTATCTCCACACCCAACATGGGGCTCTAACTCACAACCCCGAGATCAGGAGTCACACGCTCCACACACTGAGGCAGCCAGGTACCCCCAGAGTAGCCTCTAATTCAAGAGTAGACAACTTCCTTTTTTTTAAGTAGGCAACTTTTCATTATGGAACTGGGGGCAGCTGGTGATTAATTCTGAATAATAACTTTTTAGAACAGGGAATAAGAGGGGCCCCTGGCTGGCTGGCTCAGTCGGTGGAGCACGCGACTCTTGATCTCAAGGGTAGTGAGTTTGAGCCCCACATTGGGTGTAGAGATTACTTAAAAATAAAATCTTTTTAAAAAATGTTTTAATAAAAAATGGACCAGGAAATAAGATGCAGTGGCCGAATTGCTCAAAGGAAGTTTATCCGGTGAGAATAAATATGTTTAAACTTAAGTTCATGGTTTCCTTACAGCCCTTTGGGAT